ACGTGTTTGAAAGGATGGACAGCACCGGATGTACAGATCACAAGGATGGATCTTCGACCGGATTGGTCCCAAACAGGCTGCCGGGCCCCTTTTTGGGGGGGCTGTATCTGATTCAGGGGGAAACCACATGAAAGTCACCATGCAGGTTTGTGATGTTTTACGGCTCCGAACTAGATGGGTGTGTACCATCAGAGCGTGGAATGGATGTTGATTGACTTTCGCTGCATTTTCCACCACGGTTCGGACCAGTAGCGAGGCACTTGTTCCTAATAGCTTGTTGTAACTACTAGTAAGGCACTTGTTACTAGTAGCGTGGCACTTGTTACTAGTAGCGAACCTTGTTACTACTATATACCCCAACCTTTTTTTCTGGAACATGGGACACACTGCAGGTGATCGCGGTGCCTGGTACTGTTTGGGGGCCTGAGATGCAGACAGCGCTGCGGGTGGGACCTAGTGGCAAAAGGAACTGATGACTTCTTTGGGGCCACCAACAGTTTGTGGCCTCCGTTCTTGCAAAGTACAGTTCTTGTGCGACCATTCGACTTAACTAAGTCAACTCCGTCCCCTCTTTTTCTCTTAAGTCTCTTTTTGTTGTTGTGTCTCTCTCTCTCTCTCTCGCACTCGTTCATGCTTGCTCGCTGTGGTGTCCAAACAGCCCATGAGGGCAAGAATCTGATGACTGCAGTCTACTGCAGACATTCTCAGAGTCAAGACTGGTGCGGACAAAGGCCACTTGGAACAAGGGGGTTCCTCAGCAGGAGTCATGCTCATGCTGGAACACTGTCAAGTTGGGCCGCACAGGACATGTATCTGCTATCATCGACCCTGGGGCCACTCACACGAGGGTGTACAGCGTACAGCCTCCGCCTCAGTTCAACACCTATGGCGCGCCCATCGAGCAGACCTGGCACGGGACCCAGGACACCTTCGACATGGCTCGGTTGCGTCGTTCGTTCGTTTCGGTAGACACTGTGCTGTGCATCGAGTGATCAACATGGACATGTGATGATGAGATGGATCAGCATGTCCGCCATGTTCTCGGACAGAACTGGTTAACCTGAAAGTCGGCGGCCCGTGACCGCTACATGTTGAGAAGTGAACGAAGATCCATCGGAGTGTGGAACTCCTCAAGGTGAAGGGCTGCCATACCTTTTTTTTTCATGAAAGCTTTCAACAAAGTGTTAGGTCACTACGCCTGAATGCACCATTGACCATATTATGAGGTGGATGTATCAGGATGACCTTCGTTGTAGTCTTACGATCATGCTGTTTGAAGGCGTTTGATATTTTGGATCTAGCAGCTTTCACATCAAAGCTATGAACAAGCGCTCTACAGATCTCTACAAACTACCTGGGTGAGGCTTCACCGGTTTCCAACGAACACTTGCTCCTTGTTTCTGCGAACCTCTTTGTTTCCACTCAGGCTGCGCCTGGCCAGCACCATCGCGGGCAGCGACGAGAGCGCCTGTGTGACGAACACCTCAGGGATCGGGCGACTCAGTTGGGATCGTTGCGAACACCTGAGCGTCACCAGCAGAAGGAGTAGTGATCCGGAGACTCCGGGCGTATCAAGGGACTCTGCAAGTTTGAGATGCTTCAGCTGAAGAGCTTCGTTCGTTCGTGAACTTCGTGCACCAAAACCATCCATCGCAGGCCGCGGGGGGGCGCCCGCGGTGGGTGGTGACACGCGCTGCCGCGACGTACTGCGCCGCGTGGTGTTCAGAGTCCTCAGGCCCTTGGATTGGCCGGTGGGGAGCGAAGTGGCCTTCTCGGTGACGGAGCCGGGATGCCCAGGTGCCTGCTTAGCGGGTGGACCGGTGAGGATGAGGATTTGGAAGGTCCAAGGATCTGGATCTGCAGAAAAGAAGCCAGTCTCCCCAGTTGATTTGCATGTCTGACCCTCACATTCGAAGTTGGCTGTGCTCTCAAGCTGGGCAAACTTCTGTTGCGAAGAGATGCACTCGTAACTCACCGCAGTGCCCAGGTTTGATAATCCTTGGCGGGAATCCAAGAGCCGCATCTTGACGCAAGATCCTGCCACTTTGAATGCAGGATGATGCAGGGTCGTCTTGTCGCTGGGGGCATCGTCGTCTTGGATCGTCTTGGCACAATCATGGCATCTTGCGTCTGGGACTGGTAACTGGCAAGTGCATCGCTCGTAGTAGCTAGAAGATGCTAGAAACTACTAGTAGTATCTAGTAGTAATGTCCTTGTTACTATAGTAGCTTCTTGCTACTAGTAGCGATGCACCTTGTCACTAACCCAACAGTAGAATTAACTTGACTGCTCCAAAAGTGTGATGTGTGGAAGCTGAGGAATACGATGCAGAGAACGACTGTTGGAGGCTGGATATGGCTTTTGCAGATCACCAAATGTGGGACACGGCTACTGACAGAGCAAAAAAAAGGCACGACCTGCAGACGGAGACACTACTTGGAACTTGACATGAGCAATGAAGCTGGAACTTGTTCAGACTGTTCTTGCGCTGCTTTTCCATGCTTTTCCTCTCCGCCGCTGGATCCCTCCCACTGCCGGAGGATCCACTGGAGCGGCTCCCTGGGCGAGCGCCGCTTCGCCGAGGATGTGCCTGTGAATGACGAGGGCAAGACGGCGCGGGGGGGGCGGAGCTTAGGGGAGCGGATTTGCTTGAGAAGGGGTACCCGAATTTTTGGTGAAGCGATAGTGAGAGACCAAGAGCGCAGTTTCTTATTGAGCAACGGCCTGCATGTGGTCCATCAGCCGAACGGCCCAGCCAGGTGGCCCTGCGGGCTGCTGTAGCTCGTTTGGATCGAACGGTACGGTAGCTCAGTGCCTTTGGGGAGTGAGATATACCAAACAGGAGCGATCGGGCGCGAACCGAACGGGGCGAAGCTGGCCTTACGAACGGAGCGATCGGACGCGAACCGAACGGAGCATTTCGGGCATCGCTACGAAGCTAACAAGAAGCTATGAAAAAGACATGAGCGAACAACTAAGAGCGATGGCCTCCGACCTATAAGATCGATGACCTCCAACGCGTTGATGGAAGAAAATTGCCGAAAAAGACATGAATAGTTTTGATCATTTGCATGCATTTGCTGCAAAGTGGTTTCTGCTTTGTCACCAATTCTCCTGATGGTGTTCCCGGATTGGTTCATATTGGTTCCATCACAAGTAGCTTGCAGACCAATGTGATAAAGCGGGGATTCTCTTGCTCGATCAGTTCCTGGGAGGTTGGCCGAAAAGTCATTTTTTGGTATCTGCAAACTTATTACTACTAGTAACAAGTGCATCGCTAGTAGTAACAGGTGCCTTACTAGTAGTAACAAGAAGCTATTAGAATTACTTGTTCCTAGTAGTAAGGCACTTGTTTCTAATAGCTTCTTGTTACTACTAGTAAGGCACTTGTTACTAGAAGCGATGCACTTGTTACTAGTAGCTTCTTGTTACTACTATCTGCAAACCAACATAGAACAACTGGCTTTGGTGAAGCTCTCATCTCAGCATCCTGCATTCCTTCACAAGAATTCGATCAGAGACTGACAGTTCATACTAAGTTCAGGTCCTTTCTGGTTGAACCAGTGAACATCAGTGAACACCAGTGAACTCTTCATTTGAGTGTTTGCATGTGGAGGATCCTCTCCGACCAAGCTTGGACCTTCCTTCGTTCACCCAACAGATCATCATCGAGTCGGCCAACATGGACCAGACCGGCGGAAGCATGTACGGTGGGCACATCGAGGTCTTCGATGTGCGGGGAAGCCTAGGGTGACTGGAATTTGACATGTCCTGACTTAACGTAGAGAGCGCTTGAGAATTCCACCCCTGCAAACGATCCCATGAGACATTTTTGTCCATGCTTTACAACCTTAATTGAATACGAGTAAAAGGAACCGAATGAATAGAAAAGGAAACCGAATGCAATTGCCTCCAATCTAGACTCGATGGCCTCCAACCTAATATCATCTAATATCAATGCCTTCAACCTAAGAGCGATGGCCTCCAACCTACTAGCGATGGCCTCCAACCTAAGAGCAACCTAATAGCGATGGCCCAATCGCTGTTCTCACCCAAACCGTGCTGAAAAGTTCTTCTTCGACCTGGCAGACAAGACCAAAGGCAGTGCCAACGTGGATGAGGTTATGAGGTTATGAGTTATGAGTCATTATGAGGTTTGAGACCAACATGGCCAAGAAATGCATTACTAAGGGGCTTACTAGAAGCTACGAACGGGGCTCCTGGCAACGGAGCGATCGGACGCGAACCGAACGGGGCGAAACGGGCATCGCCACGAACGGAGCATATTTGCTTCGTTCGTAACAAGAGGGGTGCTTAATGGGTGCCCTTTATCCACTCACTTAGGGACTAAACACCACGCATGACTAAGGGCTTTGATGTTTTTTGATGTTTTTTGGATATTCTTTTTCCGGATGTCGCCAGCCGAGGGCTTTGGGGGACCTCGCGGGCTCCAGCGTGGTGGGCGAGCTCAACATGCAGTCGGGAGTCCCAGCATGTTTGACGGGACCTCGTGCTCATTTGACGGATTTTGCTCCCCCGCCCAAAATAGATGGAAAGAAGCGTTCTCCGCGCATCTCTGAGGTGCCAAAGCAGTTTTTCAGCTTGTTTGCAATTCAGTGGGTGGTGAGTACCTCATATACTGGCCCTGTGGAGTGGTTGGAAGTGTACAACTGGCCGGAACTGCCATTCTGTTGGGGTTTCCAAGATGCATGTGCCTCGCACACGAGACATGTGTTGGCAGTTAGGTGAGTAGAGTGTACTTGACGATACTGAAAATAAGCTGGTCAAAACTTTGTTTCCATGTCATTCGGCTAGACTGTTCTTTTGCATTGGCCACCGCGTTTCTTGAATTGAAGAATTCCAGCCGCTCCTGCAGCAGTGTTTCATCAAACGCCTTTGTGCCGTGGCCCATTGACACTGGTATGCAGGAGTTGGACCAAACAGATTTACTTTGGACCTTCCTATCTTCTTATGAGAGTCATGCTCCGAGCTCCGACGACATGAAGGCATTCCATCCTGGGCGAATTCATTGGCGCCGGCTGCACCCCACACATGGGTGGACTTTTCTGGTGATGGGTGTGTACGTTCTCCTGTTTAACACCCCAGTAAGAGCAGCAGAAGGTCTCAAGCTTGTTGAGTGGTTGCTCAGATCTGGGGCAAGTACCTCACAGAAGTGCTCAAAAGCTGCAACGGAGATCTCGTTGAGTTATACATTAAAAGACAGCAAGAAATCATATTTGAAGGCCAGCTGCGCTTCTTGCTCCGTTCTTGATGTTGTCCGAGAAAGTTGTCAGCAGGTGCACAAAAAAGCTGAGTGGAAAGCTCAAGAGGACCAGCTGCGAAAGGTATTGATGGTTTTTGCAAATGCCTCCAGCTCCCAAGCGTCCCCACGAGTGTCGATTCACCCAGGTATCATGGACATTTGGGAGAAATTCTATGCAGCCAAAGGATCGCATGACTTGACCTTTGAGACAGCCGATGGGCCAGTGACAGCACATGCTCAAGTGCTGAAAGAGGCATCAACAGTTCTCAGTGCCATGCTGCAATCGTCAATGAAGGAAGGCGGGTCACGACGCGTTGAAGTGAACGACACACCCGGCAGTGCTGTGTCGCTTTTCCTGGAGCTACTTGGTCTGGACACGTGTTGATTCTGTCATATTCTGTCCCCCTTTTAAGCCTATCCTTTTGACCTTTCTTTAAACACTGGCCCGAAAAAGCCGAGCAACCCATGCATTTTGCAGTGAGCACAACCCAGGATCTTGTACACATGCTCTTCACACTGCAAACCTGACTACAAGACAGCATTGCATGCCCTGGATTTGGCTCATCGATGGCAAGTAGAAGTGGTGACCGCTCTCCTGGTTGAAGCGCTTCGAGAGATGATCACAGATGAAAGCTTTGCAGAGATTGCAGAGCACGCGGTCTTGAAGGCCTGGGACAGATCAAGTGATACAGTTTCACTTGTCCCACGGGTTCTTCGTGGGTTGCAAAAACACGAGTGGAGAATTCTTGCACCGTTTGGAAGATCAACGTCCTAAAGAACCGGTGCTTCGGTGGTTCTGAGAATTCTGGTTTGGCTTGTTTGGCTTTAAGCTTGCCTGAAGCATGGATGGCTTCAAGCCAAGAAGTCGTTTCTGCGAAGGTTGTATTATTGAATTGGACTTCCTATGTCATAGCACGGGTCTTCAGTAGCCTATACTTTGATGTGCCATCTGAATCTCTAGAGATATATCATAGAGAACAGAGAAGAACCACGATTCCAACTGGAGAGCAGAATATAGAACTCCCTGAACGAGGGCTTGGACACGTTGAAGATGGCCTCAGAAAGCTTTGCAGCCGAATCTAGGGCCGTTCAGGCGCGAGCTGGGAACATGTTGGATCTTGTCTAGTGGAGTGAATCAGTTTGGTTCCTCCATAGATACTACAACTTCCTTTAATCAGAGGGAGGAACTCATTGGATTCTTGCTTTTGAGGTTAATTAAGTTCTTATTGTTACTACTAGTAAGGCACCTGTTACTACTAGCGTGGCACTTGTTACTAGTCGCTTATATACATCTAGATTCCCATCGTATGCTCCGTGCCCAGGCTCAGTTGAAGGAGGGTGGTCTTCCCAGTGCCGTGCAGCGGTTTCTCTCACCGCCTGAGCCCGACGTTCGCAGCAAGCGGCCGCGCTTCCTGCTGTGAGGTTCATTCACCAGCAGTGTGAAGAATGAGGTGCACAGAATGTGGGAGACCAGATCCACTACACAGACTGATGTTTGATATGTGATCCACGTGCAGAAGTGATGAACAAAAGAACAAAAAAAATTGGGTTACAAAATGATAGCCTCAACTCACGGATTGGTTTGTAGTGGAAGGGTGGCGGACACTCCACTAGCAATGGTGCCAGAGCTGTTGCAGGGTGACGCCAGTGGACGTGAATGAGTTCTAAAGAGTGTGTATGTAAAAGTTAGATGAAGCATCTGGGACTGAGATCTGAGCCAAAGATGTCTACAAGGTCTCTGTCTGCCAATGAGAAGATAACTTCTGGGATTGGCCAGCTCCGACCTGACGACGGGTGATTTGTGAAGACCCGTTTGGTCGAGCTTCCAAGACCTGTGTGATTCTCACAGAGGCGTAGTTGGCAGCAACTGACCAGGTTGGGGCAAAGATTGACTTACACAATCTATGGGGGCACTAGCGCGACGTGGAAAAAGGAGAGTGCGTTCTGATTTCTATTTTGCAAGGAGTTGTGCTGCATGAACAGCTACTTTGAAGTGGCCGGTTCAATCCTCACTTCTTTGTTCTGCATGGACATTTCGAAAACCAAGTCATCCACAGACAACCATGGCTCTTGGAGCTCCACTGGTGGCCTTCCAATGCCATCCTGCATCTGACCAGCACCCACCCCAGTGGCTGACAGACCAGTGGGGTCCTCCGAGGTACACACGCTTTCACTACTTGGGCAAGGGCGCGCTGTCGGCGGTCGGCACCTTAACGTGGTGTTTGGAAGCTCGACGTTGGAAGCATGCTTCTTGTTGAAAGCAAATACCAACTATGCTTTCTAGGCACCCAAATCACTAGGTGGGGTGGGAGCCCATGGCTAGTAGGTTGGAGGCCATCGCTAGTAGGTGGGACCCCATTGCTTCGATGTTTCTTCCTTTTCCAGGCACCCATGGTTTTATTTTTATTTTTTGCCCGCGCTCCGTGATGCTCCCCTTAAACATGAAATCCACGAGAGTGGGCGACGCGGGCAGCCGTGATTTCTGTCGAGGCAGTGAAGGTGACCTACTCATCCAACTTTGCCGCGCTCCCAGTTGTCAGAATGGTCACGGCGAGGGCGTTTCGGGCGGGCGCCGCAGGGTAGGATGTTGCAGTTTGGTCTTGGGTGACTTAAAACCTCCTTGTCACCTCCAGCCACCCTCCAAGAAATAGAGGAATTAGGGGAAGGCTTTGAGGGTTCCACACTCCAAATCCATTATTTACGTGTTGTTGCATGTTGTTACTGATGATGTCCTCTTTCATTGGATTCAATGAAAACCGGCCGACGGTCACGCAAGCCTCCAGCCAGGAGCCTCCACCAGTGCTGATTTTCCATGGCAATTCCTGGACGGAGTCTGTCGCAGCCCTGGCCTAGTCTTTGCACACTTCATCTTCGCTTGGGAAGCTGAGGGATTGGCACGGGTCGAACATGAGGTTCGGAGGTTCGGGATTTGGGCGATTTGGGTTCAGTGATGCAGACATGTACAGGCAGAACAGACCCAGCTTGCAGGGGCACACTGTCTTTCATTTGGCAGCACTACTGTAGCTTTCTTCGGCAAGTTGCGCTTGACAACTCTCTCCAGGGACGCAGTTAGGACTATGTTTTCTTCCTTCCAAGGGCCCCTTTTTTTTGCGCTCCCGTGGCCACTGATGGCAATGAGGGCCTTGGGAGGTTGGATTTTCCATGGTTGGCTGCTGTAGACTCAAACCGACCACATCTCAAGCGACCACATGTGTGATCGATGTTTTTCCGTCGCACGTGCCAGGAGTATGCCTTGCACTTGGAATCGGCCAACGTGCCTGTGTTGATCACCAACAACGTCTGATCCTCAGAGCCTTAGTGCCTGGGGGCCAAGGACAGCAAGACTCTTGGCCTTGGGATCATGCGATACTTCGCTACGTTCGTGGCTTCTTGTTCCGAGTAGCGATGGCCTCCAACCTATAGCCTCCAACCTACTAGGGATGGCCTCCACCCTAGTAGCGATGGCCTTGAACTCCTACAGCTTTGTTGGAGAACATGGAACATCAATCAACCCTTCCTGGCCCTTCCTCCAACATGGACCTCTTACCCCCCCCACAGGTGTGGGAAAACTGGTTCTTTCTACCTGAGGTCATGTTCCGTTCCAAGAACGGCGGCATTTTCTCCCAACAGGCGCACGTGCACTGAGTGGCGGCGGTTTCGCAGCACAGTAGAATTGTCGATTGTGAGATGAGTCAGCAATGCAGCGGCAATCAGGGACCAGGGAGGTTGGAGGCCATTGCTATTAGGCTGGAGGCCATCGCTAGTAGGTTGGAGGCTATCGCTCTTAGGTTGCCATCGCTAGTAGGCCTCCCATCACTCTTAGGTTAGGTTGGATGCCATCGCTACTTCCAGACCTTTGCATACATTCACAGTCTTGGGATGAGAGCACGAGAGCACTACTAGTACCCACCGATTCGTATGACCCTCTCAAACTTTCACGGGCAAAGTCAAGTCCATCACACCGACCCAAAGTTCATTCATATCCATCCGAATCCACTTGTCGACCAAGCACAGCCTTCATCAGCCCCCATGGGCGCCCTCCGTTCGTCTGCGTTGCGAGTTCGCTGCGATCCAGGGCTCAAGAGCACTGCAGATCAAGGACAACTGCATCATTGGCGCACCGCCCAGACCAAAAGCACTTGGTGTGAAGTATACAGCTGGTGAACTCCACAACCATCCGTAACGTAACCCCTGCCCTTCCTCCGAATGTGTGGTCCCAACCAGCTGGTTGACCTCCCAAATGATGAGACCGTGTTGAGCTGTTCGTTTGGTGTTGCGACCGTTATATTTCATCAACGATTCAAGGTTGCCAAAAAGGGAGGTGCTGTCCCAATCCTCAAGCAGCTGCTTCCACATCAACATGAATTTGGACCTGGCTGGTGTAAGTCAACAGTTTGAGGAGAAACCACGTGTCCATATCTTTTCTGGGTCCAGGAAGGCTCATGATTATGATTTTGAAGACATGCCAAATCCAGAAGACTTGGGCATCAAGGCAAAACGGATTTTTGAAGACTCGACATTCAAGCGTTTGACTCGCCCATCGGGTTTTCACTCACCCTCACCCTGGGCTGCACGCTCCTCATAAAGGGGACGGTGCGCGGGTTCAAACCGACACCGAGGGCTTCTTGAGGGCGCCGACACGAAAGTTTTCGCTTTAGCTTGCGCCATACTGAAATCCAAGGGGTAGACCACCAGGTTTCAGAAAGCAAGGAGTATCTTTTGGGTCATCGAACTTCACACTTTGTTCTTGGCGCCTGGTTCCAGGCGCCGACAAGTGACAAGTGACAAGGTCTCTATGGACTCACCTCGCCCAGTCGCATTTGTAAGGTTTGTGGTTGGCAGATACAGCTCCTCGTATGTGGCTTGACAGCGGATGGCTGGCAGTGGAGAGTACTTTTCGTTCTTTTTTTGGTCTTCAAGCCTTTTGCAGCAATCGCAAGATCCGGTTCATGCTTCTGTGGAGAGCCTCACTCTACGACACATCGACACATCTGAGACGATCTCAGTGCCGATCTCACTGACAGATCCAAATTCCCATTGACACCAAAAACGTCCAAACACATCCAAACACCATCTTCCCTCTTGATACTGATTCATTCATTCTTCGTTTTTTTTGAATCAAGGACCTTGCAGAACGAAGATGACGTAGTGGCTTTGGCCCTCAGAGCGGACTTGTGCATGTCTCCGGAGTGGGGATGAATCCGGTATCATACGAAAGGATTTTTATATTGTACTGTTGGTGAATGAGGGAACGCCCACAAGGTGCCGTCCTAAATCCTACCAATTCTACCACGCGATCGACTTCCTTCAGCAAGTATGGTTCCAACCACAGCAACAACCCGCCCAGACATTTGATCATCTGGGTTTGGAGCGAGCCCTCCTGAGAACCCTGAGGTGATGCTCCCTAGAGATGCTGACAACCCAGACCCTTAAACAACCACGAATCCGAATCCGAAGAACCCAACCCGTCTCCCAGAGAAGCTTCTTGCTACTAGTAAGAATGCTCCGTTCGTAGCGATGCCAAGAGCCCCTAGTAGTGTCCTTGCTCCTAGTAAGGCCAGGAACCCCGTTCGTAGCTTGTCAGATCAGATCAACCAGATCAACCAGACGCCGAAGCCAACGAGAAGCCGAGGTACCACAGTACGCCGGCATCCGCTTGGATGAGTTGCCCAAGTCCTCAGGAGTAGCGGACCGACCTGCGCGCGATGCGTGACCGTCGTATAAAGGACCGGAGCTACCTGCATGGCTCGTACAAGTGCGAAGAGTGGGCTACGGCTACAGAGGATACGTCGGAATAGTCATACAGAGGCACAATGTAGGCACATGTAGGCACATGTAGGCGCAGCTGTTTCTGTTCTTCAAAGTTCTTGGAACGAGGGATGGACTTACCGAAAGAGTGGGCTGGTCCTCTAGAATTGGCTTTCTATTGCTATTAGGTGGAGGCCGAGTCATAGGTCACAGGATGTCATAGGTCAACATGATCGTGACATGGTTCAGTGAAGGCCCGTTCCCCTCGTGGTTCACGATCCGAGGCCGGTGAGGATGCTTGGTAACTTGGTGTCCGGCTCGCGGGACATGGGCTATCTCACTCCGGTCCGGGAGCCTTAGGAGTTCGGGAGTTGGGGGGAATCTGCAAGTCCACAGAGCCAAGAATGGTGCTCAAGATATATGGGAAAGGGCTTCTTCTTTAAAGGCCGCTCTGCCCCCCTACCTAGAAGCAATGGCCTCCAACCTAATAGCGATGGCCTCCAAGCTGATAGCCACCATGAGCCAAGCATGGTGCTGAAAAAATCTGAGAAGAACCGTTTGATCCTTACTGAAGAAGGAGCAGAAGACATAGTAATAGACAACCGGGTTCGGCCTACCATGGAGGGTGGATCGCTCCATTGTGGGGAGGAAATAGAAACGGATCACAGATATTTAAACGGACCAACCCTTTAAAAGCTGAGAACTTTAACAATTGAGCCAAAAGAAAAGACCTCAATCTCAAATCCATCCCAAATCCAACCCCTCCATCCATCCCATCTATCTCCCAAACGAAATCCATTCACGGAGAAAGCCACGCCAAGAAGCTCATTTGCCTCATTCGCCGAAGCTCCTCGCCGTCCCAGGCGGAGCCCTGCCCCCCACGGGCCATCTTCAACAACGAGGCGGCGGGCGTCATCATCGGCGTTCGGGGCTCCTAGACCTCGACTGGCGACGAGCAGCGGCGCTGATGCCCCGGCGGCGGCGGCGGAACTCCGAGGGAACACGGTAGAACATGAGACGCATCGGTGTGTGAACAGGTTTGAGATGTGTCCGGCCCTACTTCGCCGGGTCAAACACCCGAACTTGTGGGTCAGTTTCAGTTCTGACATGGGACGTTGCATGTTTTACCCATGGTCGATTAGACGACGAGAGGCGTGATTCGTCAGAAAGCGGGCCGATGCCCAGCTCCTTTGAGGGTTCCAAGGACTTCAGGGGCGAACTGTCACAGCAAAGAAATCAGTGGTGAAATGTGGTGAACTATGAACAGTAACAAGAAGCTACGAACGGAACAAGTGCATCGCTTCTAGTAACAAGTGCCTTACTAGTAGTAACAAGAAGCTACGAACGGAACAAAGGGCATCGCTACGAACGGGGCACTCCTGGCCTTATACTAGTAACAAAGGGCATCGCTACTGATATCACATTTGTATGTGCTTCGTGTATTGAAACCACCGAGTCCCAACTACCTTCAAAAGTGTTGTTTCTCAGGGCTTCAATCGGATAACTCCGTTGGATGACATCCTTCCGTTGCCGTTGCGGCGCTGACCGAGGTCTACTTGCTGACCGCCAAGGGAAGCTCTTGCCAAACGTCCAATCTTTGGACAGCAGGGAGCTGAGGGAGGAGGATCGGAAGCCGAAAAGGATCAGACAATTATATATTAGTCTTTCACCTCAGTGTGTCACTAGTCGGCTGGTCTGTCACTTGCAGTTCTTGATCGAGGCCTTAGGACTGAAGCTTGCTGCCTGTCAATCACCAGCTTTTGAAACCGGGCATCACCAGCTTTGGCAGATCTCGTGCTTCCATCCTGCTTCAGCTGCTTCACTCAGGTGTGGAAAGCAGCTCATGTGGGCATCTACCTCTCTGACTTCACAGCGCCCAGAACCATCATCTCCAATGTGGCACCTCAGCAGCACTTCCGTGGCACAGCACAGCGTCTTCAACGCACATGCTCCTTTGGGAGTGTGCGTTGGGGGTGTGCCATGTGGGCGACGCGAAGAGGGTGGGCGACGATGGAGCCGAGATGCGGACGACCATCAAAGAAGCTGGATGGATCTGCTACTGGCCGATACATAAAGCTACTATAAGCTTCCTTTGCTGGCATATTGGGCCTGTAGTGCTTCAAGCGGAAAGTCGGAAAAGATGGAACTAACATGAACTAGAGCCAATTCTATCTACGGACCATGTGAACATGAACATAGATCACTTGAAACGACTCCGGGAAGACCGACACCCGTTCATCTCACGCCGTTCTTCCGCTCAGGTGGTCTCTGATTCGCATATGGGCCGGGGTCCTCGTTGGCACGGAGTTGGGATGCGATCGCGGAGCAGAACGGCGGACTTCGGCCTCGGGACAGGACAGGAGACGGACGCGAGGCCTCGGCTCCTCTCGCATCGGGACACGCAGCCGATGTTTGGGAACAAAATCATGGCAAGAACTTGCAGAATGCCAATGCTTGAAGAGAGTCTACCGCCAGTTGAGGTGGTCAGCAGTTGTGAAGACGGTGGCAATCCTTGAAGCAGTGTTAAACCACTTTGCCAAGGTATCTTGCCTTACATGAGCGTGGGCTCTGCCTTCAGGCCGGGGAATTGCAAGGCAGGCAGCGTTTGAGGAGAAGTGTAGAGTTGAAGGGAATTTGGTAATTAGCTGGAACAATTGAAGCGCTAGTCTTCTCAATGATTTTGCAAATAAAACGGTCTGCTCTGATAGGTAGGGCACTTCAGGGCATGGACGTGCGATCGAAGGCTTTTGCAGTCATCACAAGAACCTCACCCAAACGAGGGTCAAGACTATGCGGGGATAGCTTGGAAACGACATGGAGAACTTCATGGACTCCCAAGACTCTAGACCCAGGGATTTTATTTGTGTCCATGGGATGATTACATATCATACAACACGAACGTTCCGCAAGGGAACGCGTCGGAGCGTCTGCGTGGTGGCCGGATTATAGCTTCTATTCGCCGTCTCAGCTCACATGGTTCGAGGCGAATCTACATCCAGAACTCCATCATCATGGGCACCTCACCTGCTGGCTCTGACTGCCCGGAAGCTCGGGGAGGGCTTTTTCCCCCGCGGGGGACGGGAGTCTCAGTCCTGGAGTCGCGAGAGTCGGAGAGCTGGTCAGGGAGTATACTGTAGTAGCAAGAATCCGAGCAATGGAGGGAAGTTAGAGAGAACATCATGATTTAAGCACTTGGAAGAAGAAGAAGCATCAGAAGAAGAAGAAGTAGATGAAGATAAAGATGAAGCAGAAGGACAAGGAGAAGGAGAAGAAGTTCAGGAGGTTCACTTGGAAGCTTCACTCGGAGAAAGGGCAAGCATTGTACTACAGAAATCCTTATATTGAGTTTTCACCCCGAACCCTCCGCGACGTCGTTCACCTCATCTTAGGTACCAAGTCAGCTTGGTGTCGCACGCAGACGCTCAACGACCCCTACATGGACACTTGCAACTCCATGTATATTGGTGCAGATCTGCGACGTGTGGGGTCAGGGTGGCCCAGTGAGGGTTTCGGGGTGTGTGGGGTAGCGAGCCCTGGACGTCGTTGAAACCATTTAACTTCCAACATGATTTTTGGGTGCAAGACAATTGGAGTTCTGGATGGTTTCGGGAGTTCAGCATGATCTGGAATCAACTGATTCTTCGGTGAGATGGATCAAGATTCCTCATGGAAGCCGGCCAATGTCTGAGTTCGGCCATCTGAGAGAAGGTTGCCATTGCCATCCTAAGCCTTCCACCTCGCCTTCCACCTCGCCTTCCACCTCACCGCCCCTTCCGCTGCGCAAGCTCCGCGGCGCATCGCCAGGTTCGTGGCGGCGATCCAGACAGCCAACAAGAAGTCTGGGTTGCCTGGTTCCGGGTCTGCGGTGATGTCCTTTTTGGTCGTTCTGGCTTTGCCGGTATGGTGGGAGATGAGGGGACGTGCAGCATCGGCCAGACGCGAAGGTGCTGCTTGGAATGACTGAGGCCCAACGTGTATACAATTAATATTTAATAACATCATATATATAATACACCTGCGCCGATTCTGGCTCCCCAAAACTCTAGTTGTTCCAAAGCAGTTTTGTCCAGACTTCGAAGCGGCGATGGGGCACTCTGCGGCATGGATCGGCGGAGCATCTTAGGCCCTCTCGTGGGCAAGAGTGTTGGGGGTTGTTCTGACTATGCCAGCGTAAAACTCGAATAGGCTTGCCAAACCATCCATTGCCAGAAACGTCGGGAAACGCAAAACTATCAACAAGGCCCAGTCCTTATGAAGCATGCTGGTGACAGCGGTTTGTTCCATGACATCCCCTTGAGTTCCACTGAGGAGCTGCTGGACTACCATGGAGTACTCTGCCTGCCGGCTCATGTCCACTGCGTGAGGGGGGCCCAGAGAGGATTTGGATGGACTCCTTGGGGGATGAAGCTTGAAAAGGGGATGAAACCATGCTGAAGCCAGCAGTGAGCATTGGGATTGATCCTCTGTTTGTCATTTTTTCCAGAGGTCGCCTGACAATCCGAGAAAATGGTTTGTCAATTCTTCACAGCACCTTCTCAGCATAGTGCAATTGACCAACAATACCTTCATATTCGCATATACCCTTGATAAGTTGCGGGTCTCCTACCATCCCATCCCATTGTGAGGCCGAATCCAGCCCATAAATCCTGGCTCTCCAACCAGCCGCCCTGATTTAAGATGAACGTCGACACTGATTTACAGCTGGCCAGATGGTCCTCAGAACTGATCAGTAGCTGATTGACAAGGAGATTTCAAGAAAACCTGCGGAAAGATCGGACACTCCACAGTTGCTGCCCACTGAGCCCCCCCACTCTGTGACATCCCGCAGGCAGCCGAAGCTCAATGATTGTCACCAGCCCTATGAGAAGGACTGAAGTGATGCCTCCCACCTAAGAAGCCTTTGTTACTAGTAGCTTCTTGCTACTAGTAGTAATGGCCTCCAACCTACTAGCGACGTTCAACCCAGATGCAGAGGCAGACACGCGCGGAAGCATCGTTGAGCCGCCGCAATAAGCCTCGCGTGTGACACTGGAGGCGGTTCACAATGGTGGTTGGTCTGCGAGCTTTGCGAGCTCTGCAATGCTGCAGAGTGCTCCAAGTGTTTGTCTCTGTGTGTACATCTATGACGCTAGGTCCGCATGGTGCCCTGTTGGCTGGGGGCTCTTTGTGGACGGAGTTGTGTGCTCTGCATGCCACCGTCGGGTCTCTTAACGGGCCTCAGCGTGGGCCTTGCGCATGGCCTAGTAGCTTCTTGCTTCTAGTAGTAAGGCCAGGAGCTACTAGTAGCTGCCTTTTGCAGTTTGTGCGAAGCTACGGGGCTCAGAATTTCATCGGACTATGGAGGCCATCCCCTACTACTGGGTAGTAGGTTGGAGGCCATCCTTATTAGGTGAGAAACACTCTGCGCAACTGGGGGAGGTCTCCCTATTTTCATACACAGCCATGTGGACGCCCTGAACCCTGCTTGCTGGGATCCGAGCCCAGCGAAGCAGCTTTGAACACGCCTTGGCGTCGCTTCGGACACTTTCGCGCGTCGCTTCTCCGCTGGGACAGCTTCGGTGGGACGCTGAAGAGAAACCCAGCGATTGGTCACTCGGGAGCATCACAAGGAAGTGGTTGCAGCGCTGCAGCATGCTGCAGCTCAGCCCTGACCTTTCAGCATTTTTTCCACTCAAGGTGCACCTGGAGGCTGCGGGTGCTTGGAGCCCGGAGGCCTCCACCGGAAGGTGGTCCACTGTGACCCAAAAGCATGCTCGTTTCCTGTCGTGCGGAAGCAGGTCAGGTCAACCATTTTCCTTTGCAAAGGGGAAGACCATGGAAGACCTGTTCTAAAGCCATCAGTGCTGATAACCAACCGTCCATGAATCCCTTGATCAGACTGGATGAATCCAAAAAACAATTATCAATAATTATCATTTTAAGTAAACTTAGTAAACTTGAACTCCAACCTAAAGGCGATGACTTCCCGCTAAGAATAGACTTGAACTACAAGGTGAATCTGGGATAAAGACCACGCACTTGATGAGTGTGGGGAACTGGCAGGACATCCACATGCAGAAGGGCTTGGGTCGAGAGCTCAGGGCTCACACACTGCAGGCCGTGTTTGATCATCCAAAATAGCAATCAAAACCATTCAAAACCTGGTCCACCATGTAGCTCGACCCTCGATCCAGGAGGGGGTCCTTAAGCAAATGCCGAGTTTCTTCAACCTTCAATTGTCGGAAGCTGGACCCTTCAACATGGTCTGAGCCTTTGCTGAACCTTCCAAGAAGAACAAAAAGGAGTAGCAAGAGAGAGAAGACGAGTGGTGCAGTGAAATCCGATCGATCTCTATCGTGAAATCCGACCATCAAGTCTTCAGTCGCATGCATGTCAGAAACTTTCGATCACCTAATTCTCATGATACCTACCTCATCTAATCTCCCATGTCTTCCCAGGCTGGAGACCAAAACACCTTGAGACGGGAGACCAAGCAAACCTCGATCACTGGGTTTTCGCCGCCGAAAGAACTGGAGGCTGGACCTTCTTCACGGACACCACCTTTGCGTACTGGAAGAGCTCCGATTGCGGCCTCTCGCAGCATCCCTAATCAGTCTCGGAGTAGCAAAGGGACCTCAGAGAATGCCGATGGCCTCCAACCTAGTAGCGATGGCCTCCTAGAAGCGAGAGCCTCCAACCTAGTAGCGATGGCACCTGGAGAACGTGGTTTCTTCCTTGACTGGAGACCATGGAATGAGCTCTTTGCCATAGAAAAGCCATGAGGCTTTTTGCGCGGAAGTCTGACTGCTGGGGCCGACTGCTGGGGCAGTCTTTCCCAAAGAGTGCACACCATTGTTTGTTGGGATCAATTGATCAAACAATTATCAGGGTGTTGGGTTGCATTTCATTTGGTGCGGTCAAACCATGGTGATGTTGCTTATAGTCAAACCAGTGGGTGGAAGGTATTTTTGATGAATTCCTTTTGTTGCAGCTCCAGCTTTTCCACTCAGTGAGTGTGAGGTGAACTTGTTTGTACGCGATGCAGGGATTCGAGCGTTGCCATGGCAAGACCGGGCGCACTGCTACTACTCTTGTGTTAGTCGGGATGTGTTGCGAGCTTCTTTTGATCCGCTTCCCCTGCGATTTTGTTCTGCAGCCGACCATGCCGAGCATGCCGACAAGTGCACGGAGTCAGCGAAGGCTGTCACCTCATGTGGTTTTGCATGCTCGTGGTGGCGGGACGTCTGTGTCGTGCAAGGATGTGAAGGAGTCAATCATGACAAGGAGGGCCAACTTGGAAAAGGACCTCAAGAATCTCAAGAAGTACGACAAAACAGACCAGGGCCATGCGAAAGAGTTGGACCAAAAGATACCAGCTTTAGAAAAGGATCTCGATCGATGGGATAGGTTGGGCTGCGGTCCTGACTCTGACGTGGACCAGGTTCGAGACGATATCTACGAAGCCAAAGAACTCTTGGAAGAGAAGAGACATTTCAAGATGGTGAGAGTGAGCGATGACACGGAATTTATCATGACGACCTCCCAAGTGGCATTAATTCTCGGCATAGGCGTCCTAGTTGTTTCATTTCTTGGTGTCTTTGGGCCAAGTATACTGGAAGCATTGCTCCTCCGCGCTGGCTTCAGGGTCATTGGCCTGAGCTGCCTGTGAGCACTAAGTGCACCACACTCCTCACAAGGCACATGTTTGAATTCTCATTACCGACTCTACTACAGTGTACACCTTGGCAACAGGTGAATTTTGACAGATCCTTTCGCCGTTTGATCGAGAAAGCATTGCAAGAAACAGACAGCGAGACAGCGAGATCATCAAGGATCATCCTTTGCATACTTTGGCTTGTGCAAAAGGATCATCCTTTATGTCATGAGATCATTCCTGCTGCCCCTCCTCTATAGGGCTCTGTGAGTATACCTATTATATAAATATATGATATAATAAACAAATACATGTATATAGCATACAGTGCTTTCTGGAGTAGATTAGATGGCACAAACCCACGGATTCTTTTATAATTATGGGGATTCCTATACACCACCTTTTGGGGATTGTGGCATTTACTCTGAAATCACTGTATATACAATATATGCTTGCTTTCTTCAGCCTCGCTCCCTCATCCTGCTCCTCTGTGTTCTCCTCTTTTGCCACTCTCTCTGCGCGCTCCCAGGTCCCGCGCGATCTCGGTGAATATGTGGGCCGCCGAGGTGAAGTTGGGAAAAAGGATTACATCCCACCTGGAGCACTTGCTGTTGAGGATGTAAAATATGATCCTGACGTTTTGTTAGAGATACATTTATATACATTTCTTTTGACATGGGGATGATTGGCCCAAGGGCGAGAGGGACGTCGTTCGGTCAATCTTTGGGACGTAGTTGGCCTTTCTTCTGCATCATTTAAGGATCATGAGCATAAACGAGGCTACAATCTCCGAAATAGGTGGCGCTGCTTTGACCATCTTCCATTCCACATTGCCCCCCCAAAACCACCGACTACCTGACCATCTGTGACGACCGGCGCGACGCAGGTGAGCTTCCCAGCAACCTTCACTCGCACCACATGGTACCAGGTGCCACCTTCACTCGCAGCTTCGGCCGGATGAATGGCCTAAGCCATGAACGTACACGATACATGCTAGGAGCAAGGACGCTACGAACGGGGCGCTCCGGCCCCGTCCGCTCCACCCTCGGGCCGTGACCCACGTCCCCCGAACGTCGTTGGTCGACTGGTCGGTGTCCTGGTGCCCACAGACAGAGCTGGTTGCTTAAGTTGTTTGATCCAGCTTGTACTTCAAAAGGGGGTGAAAATCCAGAGTTGCCCCAACAGCAACTGCTGACGGTGGTAGTTTAGTTCTTTCACCTTCTTTGGATTTTGGTTGGTCTTTGTTTTTCAATGTGTGTATATCATGTGGGTTAGTGACGGTTAGTGTCAATTGTTTAAGTTCTTGCCAGAAACACCCATTGGGAACTTTATTTTGGAGGGCAGTTCCAAGACACATCAAATCAAATGAACACATATGTTGGTCATCGCAGTCCTTTATAGGTGCAAAACCCTTCACTTAACCAGCATTTTTGGTGACAATGTTTCGATTCTACCAGCACTGATCAACTGGCTTAAAACTGACACTCATCGATGAAAGTGTCCGTGAACGCCATCAGGTGGTGTCCATCGCTACTAGGGTGGAGACCATCTCTAGTAGGTTGGAGGCTGCTACGAAAGTGTCCCAGACACTGAGCAGTTCTGTCGACGTGTCCCAGCTCAGCTGCAGTCCACGTGCTTTCGTCGACGTGATGAGCTCACGTGCCAGTCCGACCCTGACGCGCGCTTTGAGTTGAGCACCGAACGATTGGATTCAGCTCCTGGGCGAGGAAAGCAGTGCAGTCCGGAAGGGATACCCTGTCGCTCAGCAAACCTTATGGAAACAGCCAAGCATTGTCTTTGTTTGGATGTTTTTCGTAGCAGTTTCTACAGCTTTCGATGTTGACTTCTCTGAACGTTCGCCTCAAAAACCCTTGTGCCTGCACCGAAGAACACCTGACAGCTTGCTCTGTGTGATTGGAACAGAGACCCCTCTTAAGTCAGAAGACCATAAATGCTATAGTCTTTCCTCCAGGTGTTGTCGCGACCTCTCAACCAGTGGGATGTTACTTTGTACTCAGCGGTCCATGACACCTCACATTGTCACCTTGGCCGAAACATCATGTGTGGGCACTGGACTTGCGGGAATTGCGGTCCACGACCAAAGCCATGTTGAAACGTCTGGAGACATGGCTTTGGACCCCCCTACATCCATGCCGATTAGCTGAACAACAATCCTTAACGAACGAAGTCGAAGTCCCAATCTCCATGATCTCACTCCTCGACTTCGCACTGACCGGACGCTGCTCGGTGGGCCTTTTGAACACGATCGCGATCGGCTGAGGCGTATGCCGGCCGTGCCAGTCCATGTAAGAGCACCGGCGGTGGCTGCATGGGTCCGGGAGACCGACCGGCCGTCGAGACGGAGGTGCTCGCGTATCGGGTCAAAACGAGGACGGAGTTCCTAGGTTAATCAAGGTGGTATCCCGGTTTTGACCCGCAACCCATATGTGTTTATCAATTGGTGATCCGCCAGGTCCTCAAGTAGTTGGCTGTGTTTGACTGTAATGGGCGAATGGGAAGACAATATGAGCTGCGAACTAGTTCTTAGCTCTTTGTGCCTGCAAGCTCTGCCACCAGAAGCATGAGTCATTTCATGTCATTTCCCTTTAGTTGGAGTTCATACAATTCATACGCTTTCTAGTGAAGGGTTCAGAAAATAATGTCAGCAGCCAGGTCAGCATCCAAGCACTATGATTAATAGCGATGGCCTCCAACCTACTATCATCGATGGCCTCCAGCCTAAGTGCGCTAGCCACTGAGTGATAGCCTCCTTCGCTCGTGGCTCTCGTGAGGCTTGGATCAGATGCTGATCCAAGATACCGATGGCACTTTGACAGGACGGGTGCCGCTCGCGACGCTCGACCGCCGATCTGAGACCGCTTCGTTGGGAGCGGCGAAGTCAGGTGTGATGTTTGGTCAAAGTACAGCAAACAAGGAAGTGTCTAACGAATTGCAGGAACAAGAAGGCATCGCTATGGGAGCAAGGATGCTATTAGGGGCGCTCCTGGCCTTACTACTAGGAACAAGAACGCTACTAGGAGCAAAGGAAGTGTTTAATGAAATGCTATCCACTTAGCTGAGCCGACCACGGGCTCTCTTGGACGACAGGCTCCATTTAAAGAGATGCTACCATTCTCCGAGAGTGATTTGGTGCGCCATGCTGTTTCACTTGGAGCATCCCAATCGCGAGTTCGGATGTTGACCTGCCCTCAGTGGCTCCACATCTCGCGTCTTGTAGAGGAATGGGTGCTGAGCATGCCAGCATCCTGCCCTACACACCCCGCACGGATATCGTGTGGCTTGGCGTGAAGTGTTCGGGCCTCCAACCACCGCAGGCCGCCTGCGGGCCTAGCCTAGTTGAGCACCAATCTAAGGGCAGCACCTGTGATTGCCTCGAACTTCCTCGCGTTAGGCACACAAAGTCCCTCCAAGAAGTCGCCTGTTTGCAACCAAGGTTCTAACTGATATTTAGTGCAGTAAATTCAGGTCTCGTTCGTGAAGTCATTGTGGCCGGGAGCGACGATTTCGCCGACGACCGTCACCAGCCTGGGAGCGACCATCACCTGGAAGCGTTTCGTGGATGTTATGTGGATGTCAGCGCTGCTGCCCTTGTCGAAGAATCACTGACTCACAGGGTGTCACATGACCGAGGAACAACCAGTGCTCCGTTCCGTCCGACGAGTTGAACCCAACACCATTCCGGTTTCCTGCTTCGCTTCAACGGCCTTACTAGGAGCGGTCGGACGCTACGAGGTAGGGGCGATACTGGCCTTACTACGAACGGAGCAAGAAGCTATTAGTAACAAGTGCATCGCTACTAGTAACAAGTGCCTTACTAGTAGTAACAAGAAGCTATTAGCTTATTGTTTCTACTATAGCTTCTTGTTACTACTAGTAAGGCACTTGTTACTAGTAGCGATGCACTTGTTCCTAATAGCTTCTTACTACAAGCACCGGAACTGGGTTCCGAGTTCCCCTTCCGGAGCCCGGGCCGCGGGTTGCGGTTCGATCAGGTGGGCTTCGATGTGCAACAACAGCCTCCATGACACCACCATTGGCGCACAGGCGACGAGGGCAGTGAGACTGATCCTGAACAGAGGCAGATTCACCACAAGATACAGGACCATTAAGGGCAAACAAACATGGAGTACTTACTTTGCTTCTTCTTTGGAAGAGTGGGAGTACAACGTACAACTGTGTGCTCTTTTGAGGAGGGCTTGGGATCGTGTGTAGGGCCACCCTGTTGTGAGTATGCTTTCGTTGCTCCTTGAGACATTGTCCAGAGCAGCTTGTTGCCCTAGTCTGCAGACCCTGGTGGTGCTCAATTGAATACGAAACTTCGGTGGGTGCATAAATCGTAATGAATTTGACGTCTCCAGTGCCTTCCATAGTCCATGAACCTGGCTGCCCCGGCGAAAACATACCACCGTTGGATACCGTTGGTACACCAGGTTCTCACACCGTTTGGTCCAGTTCCCTTTGGGCACCGTTTGGACTCGCGCGTCCAGCGACCACGGTCCAGACGGGCACGTGAAAAGGTCCTAGTAGCCTCCTACTTTACTACTAATTTTAGTTAAATTAAAATTTTTAGTAAGCTTCTTGTTACTACTAGTAAGGCACTTGATACTAGTAGCGATGCACTTGTTCCTAGTAGCTTATTGTTTCTACTAGCGTCTTGTTCCTTGTCAGGTGTGTCCCAACATCTCTGTGGATCTACTGGAGATGAAGAACATCGATCGTGAATCGGCCGATGCAAGGGGGTTTTCACTGTGCTGGAAAGATGGAATGGGCTTGGCTTTTTAATGGGTCTGAACTTCTGACCGATTGTTTGTCGCCCTATTCAGACTCTATTGTTTTTTTGATGTGTTTTGTGTGGATCATCGATTTGCCTTCAATGAATGCAGTGCCTGCAGGGGGGTGTCGCTGAATCCGGAGAATGCATCGGAGGTGTTCCCAGTCAGGGTTTAGACTCAGCGCCATTCCTGGAAACACCTCCTCCCTAACCATTTTTGGGTGTTTCGCGGAAGGCTCCATGACCAACCACTGGCAAGAATAGATTGAGCTTTAGGAGCGCTCATGGCTTTGGAGACAGAGGTTGCCGTCCTACTCATTGCTGTAACAGTCAGTAGAAGCTTGTCACTTGTTTTGGTGAAGACCTCATTGACTGTCATGATGTGGTGATGTGTGATGTAATGAATCTACTTCAAGGAATCAATTCCGGGGGGTCGCGTTCACCCTGGCGGCGAGTTGATTGGTTATACGGCTAACACAATATACATGGGGGAAGTTCCAAGCTGCGAACTTCGGTTGGCTTGGTCAAACCAAGCAGTTCTTGGGTGGGATTCGGGAGGACCCCTTTGGTCGGGTTTGGTCCAGCGCTGACCGGTCCGAGGCGGGGCAAAGGACGTGAAGTTTGGTCCTTTGGTGTTGGCCCCAGCGGAACATCCGTCGAACGAGTCGGAGGTCGGAAGGCCTGATTGAGCGGTTTGGACTGGGTGAAGAAAAACCGGTCAACGGTGGAAACAGAACAGTGAATTCCGAACCTGGTGTGTCAAAAGCACCACAGCTTGGGATAAACTTGCGATGTGACATATGCGATGGTGAAATGTGACACAAGCACAACATGGGGTTGTAGGCATTTGGCATGCCGGAACCGGCCTGTATAGTCAACTGGACTCTGCATCTATATACAAGAAGCTACGAACGGGGCTCCTGGCATCGCTACTAGGACCTATAGGAGCAAGGACGCTACTAGTAACAAGAAGCATATATGCTTATTGTTTCTACTAGCAAACATGGTTACTACTAGTAAGGCACTTGTTACTACTAGCGATGCACTTGTTCCGTTCGTAGCCATATGCTTGGTAGATGCCACAGGATGTTAACGATGCGTCCAACAACAACCACCGCCTCGTGCGACCGGTGGCCGGCGGTGCAGGTCCTCACGCCCGATGAGGAGGAAGACAACGGCTTTGAGGGCGGTGTCTTGAGTAGCCGGGAGTCCCGGGAGTCCCGGGCCGCGTGAGTCGCGGTGGCCGGGACGGTTTCGGAAGCGCTTTCACCACAGAGCTTCTTTGGTGGCCTAGTCTAGGCATAGCGGTTTTGATGAGACCTTTTGTTTTGGGTGGTTTTCTTGCAAAGGATGCGATGTGATCCCATTTTGGATGCAGGGTGCAATGGTTGAAGCTTTACACACATTTGCCCTCTATGAAGTTCAAACCTTAACTTTTTGCCAGACTATTCAGCACCTAGAAGGGCAGAAAGGACTACTCTGGTTGAGACAGCCAGCTCAAGGGAATTTCCTAGTTGAAGCATGTTGAAGCTACACAGCTGGTTGAGACGTTTCCCTATCCTCCGACTGGTGACACAAAACTCTGGGCATGATGCAGTCTCCTCGTTCTTCAGGCGTTGGGCCCTTCTATGCGAGCTGCCCATGTGGCACGGAGACCCGAGACGGCGAGAGGAAGACTCCAAGATCAGCTGGTGAACGCGAACGAAGAGACCATTAGGAACAAGAGGACGCTACGAGGTAGGGGCGAAACTGGCCTTACGAACCGAACGGAGCAAGGATGCTACGAGAGCAAAGGGCATCGCTACTAGTAACAAGAAGCTACTAGGACCTTGTCAATAAGACAATCCACCGACACCAATCGACACCAGCTGGTCTGGGGGAATCATTTAACGATGTGATTCCGCGCTCGTTTTGGTGACCAGTTTGGCCAAGTGATCCATGTCTGCTATTCTCAGCCATTCCTTTTCAAGCAAGTCCTCGTGTCAGATTCCACCCGAGGTTGGGACTTCTCCTTCTACCATGTGCTCATCCAACCCGCGCGAACCTGAAGGGCGCGCCGTCAAAACGGCGTTTCCATGGGACCGGTGTTACTCATCGGTGGATGGTTTATATCTCATCGGTATGTCTCAATGGATATGGTTTTTCCAAACATGCAGGGCTCATGACCCTGCAGCATGATACTGCATGGAAGAAACATGATAGCCCCTATTTGGAGTGGGTAAGAAACCAATCAGCTTCCTAGCTGCTAGCTTCTCTCCTGAAAAACCTTTCTTCACCCTCCAAGCCCAAATGAAACTCATTTTCTAGAGACTTGCCTGCTACACACAGGATACGACCTACTACATGGAGGTCTTGTCCTTGCCGGAAAATTTCAAGTCTGAAGCCTGAGAGGAACTGTTGAGAAAGCAGTGATGAAATCATCAGAGTCACAGTATTGCTCATGCGTCGATGAGATAACACAAATCCCGAAGTGGACCTGTCATGCACAACCAACGAATTACATGTGTGCACACATCACATGTGACTCTGCTTCACAATAGAACAGGGTTGCTTCAGTCAAGATGCCGCACCACAAACACCTTTGGACATGGGTATGTCGACCAGATGTCCTACACAACATGATCTTTATATTCCGGGATCCATCGCGTTTTGGGCCAAGGCTCCGCTACTGGAACACGCAAACCACAGAGGTCGGGGCCGGAATGTCCAAGGATGAGAGGTCCAAGGATCCAAGGACCAGGTGACTTGAGATGGACCCCTTTGGAGTCACTGGATTGGTAAGTGACCGGAAAGTACGTCGACCGACACCGACCTCTTCAGTGACCGAAAACAGCGGATCGAAACAGGACGGTCACGAACGGAAGGACTGGGAAGACCAAAAACACGCCGAACTCCATGGAGTTTCTACGACCGAAAGTCATGAACGCCACTTTCGCATGATCCCAATCTTTTTCTGTTCTTCGACAGTTTGAGTGTCCAATTCTCTAAGCAATGCCATATCCGCGCATTCTCATTCCAGGAGCCGCGACTGACCAATGCCCCCCGATCGTCCGTCCGGACGCTCTGAGTCTGTGCTGCTGGAAATCTTCTATCCGGACTCACGTGGTGTGAACGTCTTCGTGGGCAACGCCAAGAAGCCTGATATGGCCCTGAAGCTGGTGCGGGCCTGAAGCTGCCGAAGCAAGCACCGGGGGCACAAGAGAGCGGTGGAATTTCGAAGGCGACTGAGACTGAGTCGGTGTTTGTTACCCCAAGCGTGCCAAGAGGGAAGTCTCTTCTCCCAAAGATTTCACGTTGCCAGGTCTAATAACAGTTATATAAAATAATTAGTTAATATACCATTCAAATATATTCAAATATATATACAAATCATTTCAAATCCATTCAATCATTACAAGGTTTCAATCTCGAGCGTTACCCTAAGCGTTTTTGGTTCGCTCTTGTTTCATCCAAGACCGCACGATCTGCCAGGGCCGCAAGCCCACACTAGACGACGAGTCCGGGCACCCCAAGTTGGGACGTTATTTTTTGTCGTTTCCCGATGGATCAAAAGATGGATCCAGTCTGGAACTCCCTGCTACATGCCACATCGTATGATATCATATGCCATCAAACATGTTGCCCTTTCTTAATGCGCTGGTAACCTGTCGAAGAGAAACACATCTTGTACAGCTATAGCGAATTGTGCGGCTGTTTCCACGCCCCTTCAAAAAAGATTGGGAGGTCTGCTGCAAAACCATTATGATCTGGTAGAAGCTTAGTTCCTTTCGATCCCATTTTGATCCACATGAGGTGCTTTCACTGGACCACGAGTACGTCTATTCAGATCAATGTTATCTCACTGAATACCCCCCCCAGAGCTTGATGACAGGAAGTATGGCCAAGAAGGCTGGTTGAACAACAAGAAGCTACTAGGAACAAGTGCATCGCTACTAGTAACAAGTGCCTTACTAGTAGTAACAAGAAGCTATTAGTAACAAGAAGCTACTAGGAACAACTGCAGCTTTGCCTGTTGGCTTCCCGATGCTTCGCCGTTCAGGCATGGAGCCCATGTGGTGGATGCTCAAGCGCTGCGTGGGATGCCCCAGACGTCCGACACCGGCAACGGCCCCCGTTTGAATGGCGTGAGGCTCAGCATGGATTCAAGATCGGGTGGATGCCAAGTTGGTCACACTTTGGGAAGGTCGCGGGTCCAAGCCACTACTTGGAGATTGAATCTAAAATCGATAAAAGATCCGGTGCTGAGCAACCATGACTTTTGTTGATCTCTTCAAGAAAACCGGTCCAAGCAACAGGACGTCCGCTATGCCGCGCCTGCCACGCCTTTCTTCGAACGCCTTCCTTTCGATCCCCTTTCTCTTCCGTCAGACACGGATCAGGTCTGGGTCAGAGTCCAAGAATTCTTGCTCCTAATAGCAATGGCCTCCAACCTAGTAGCGTCCTTGCTCCTAGTAGCGATGCTCTTTGTTCCTAGTAGCGGCCTTGTTCCTAGTAGTAAGGCCAGGAGCCCCTATAGTAGCATCCTTGCTCCTAATAGCCTTGGCCTCCACCTAGTAGCTTCTTGTTACTCCAAGGCTTGTACGTGACCATGCGGGGCTCACAAGCCGGATTCGATGTGGGAAGCCCAGTGCTTTCGAGTAGCGGCCCCATGGCGGCCATGGGGCGCCCAGCTTGGAGAGCTGAAGGTTTGCCACCCAAGAGCGGTCTGAACGCTACGTTCGTAGCTTCTTGCCACTAGTAGCGATGGCCTCCAATTGCCACCCATTGTTTAGCAATATGTTGGCATATGTTTCTTGACATGTCAAGAACACCAGCGCTCTGGGCGCATTGCTCCTTCGCCGAAATCGTGAGGCCCGACAGGACCTCACCATCCGGCGCACGCCGACGGTGAAGTTGAAGATGAACATCGAGCTGCTTGGCAAAATCCTGGCATGAAGTTCTTGACTTGGGTCGAACTCTTTTCCAGCGGAAGAACTTTAACACTATAGTGTTCAAGTGTTTTTGGCCTTTTGACAAGTCTGACAGTAACCAGATCCTCTTTGCTGGGGGTTGAGGGTTTAGCTTGAATGAAGGAGACAAACCACATGGGTTACTGTAAGTCAGCTTGCATTCAAGTCTCCAACGATCCAACTTTGTTGCTATTCCTCAGTTCTGTGACAACTCATGACTCAGGTCCATTCTAGCTCAGCTTTGTACTCAACTCTCCCACATTTCTCCACCCCTGCGTCGTCTCTGCGTTGTCTCACCGCACATGCAGGTCGACGACGGAAGACGCGACGCGACGCCGAACCGCGGCCAGGATCTCCATCGAAGAGTTCAACGGGCCGACCTTCCAGACGAACTTGGCCATTCTGCTGGGCATCCCTCCGGAGCGGATCATTGCCACTGGGCCGTCAAAACCGGGATGGGGGGGATGGGATGAAAGGAGCGAGGTGAAGGGGGGTTTGATCCTGAGGAAGAGTTGCGACAGGGGCTGGAAAGGTTAACACAACGTCATAGCGATGGCCTCCAACCGAATATAGATGGCCTCCGACTTGGATGGAAAATGCTGCAGGTCTTAATAGATCAGTCAATGGTTCACTATGGAGAACCGCCGAAGCCGCTCACGCCCCAATCTGGCGAAGCGCCCAGGTGGCCTCTGTCCAGGCTCGTCGTCGTTTGAAGCTGGTGGAGATGACAGAAGACGCAGAGCTGCCACTCGGATGCAGGCAGAGGCGATCGGTTTCTTTTTTTCACCGGCGCATGGAAAGTGGTCACATTGGTACGTGTTCATTGCAGAGGGGGGGTGTCAACTCTGATTTTATGGCTCTTGTTTGGACCCATCGCGAATGGGGATGACCAAGAGCGATCTCACTTCAGCGAGAGTAAAATGAGACCACACTAGCGATGGCCTCCAACCTAAGAGCGACAGCTATTGCTGAATCTTCCCGATAGAGGTCAAGAGGACGAGGACAGTTCATGAATCAATGTGTTGCCGGTGTTCAATTGCAGAAAGGTGCTTGTATCACATCTCAAAGTAGCCGAAGTGTTGGCCAAAATGCTTGGTCATTGGCTCCATGTCCAAAGAATGCATCAGGCATATCAGGCACATGACTTACCTGTACTGATGGAGAATAGCCCTTCACAACTTGTTAGAGGTTGGGTACAGAGGAGTTTCCTGTCTTTTTTCGGAGGATTTGTTTCCTTCGGCTCCAAACTGGAAACTCAGGGAGGCTCTTGAAAACCAACGGATGTGCTTTTGTGTTTTGCTTTTGAAATTGTTCATCCTTGCGCCCTCCAGTTCTCTCAAAGCTCTCTTCGTTCCGGCGATTGGCCGAGGTCATGCTTTGAGGATCACTGTCAGCGAGGTGGGAGAGAAGCACCCGGAGGTTCTGTAGTTGGAAAAAGAGAAGACAGTGAAAGGTAGGGATATTTTTGAGTGGGTGTTTCCCATTCTTCAGAGTTGCCAACCTGCAGCTTGGCATTCATGGGGGATCATTTGCATTCGGCAGGTGCATCGCTACTAGTATATAGCTTCTATAGCTACTAGTATAGTAATGCCCTTGTTACTAGTAGCGATGCCCCTGTTACCAGTAGCGATGCACCTGCTACTCTAGTAGCGACGCACTGGTAGCGGCCTGTGGTGTGCCAAGATGTGCCAAGTTTGTATCGTGGGTAAGACTGGTTGGCGGCGTCCAAACCTCATGTTTCCGTATGGAAAAAACAAGGAGATCCGAGCTTTGTTTAGGATGAACACCCTGATTTGACCTAGCCACTTGTTCCCATTTCTTGGTGTTTTGCCACAGGTTTTGACACAAATTGTTTAAAGAGCACGTCGGCTTCAAGATCAATCCAACCCCCCAAAATCCAGGTTGGCACTTTCGACGAACCGAGCGGGGCAGGCCGTCGCTTGGCCACGGTGGACCAGACGGCACTGGACATCAGCATCGAACCTTCAGCCGACGCGGCGAGCGGGAGATCAGATCGGCTGGACAGTGTTGTCGGCTCGGGCTTCCTGGGTGGGCGTTTTCGATCATTCAGTGACAAAGGAAAAAAAGGGGTGTGGGCTGGGCTGGATCGGATCTTTAATGATCTTCATATAGTACTTACATAGCGATGGCCTAGTCGACGGCGGTCTTGACGTCGGGCGTGGGTGGGCGTGGCTATGATTCAGTGACAGGGTGGAGGGAAGGACGAGGTATCTGAACGGTTTGACCAAGGGTTTTGGTCCAACATTAAGCAAGAGAGGCCCTAACGGGAAGAACATATGGTGAAATAGACCTGGCCTAGCAGAGTTGCTGCAGCAGTCCGTGAGGTGAGTGAGCTGTGTAGATCGCTGCAGGCCCTTAGCTACGTTCGTAGCTTCTTGTTACTAGTAGATACTAGTAGTAATGCCTTTGTGACCAGTAGCGATGGCCTCCAACGACTAGCAATGGCCTCCAACCTAGTAGCTCTATTGTGACTAAGAAGCTTCAAAGACATATTCAAAAACTTCTTGTTACTAGAAGAGATGGCCTCCAACCTAGTAGGGCTCTGTCGATCGCTGGGGGGGGCTCGGTTTGCGTCCGTTCTCACAGGCAGCAGCTGCCACGGGTGGCGACTCATCCAGTTCAGGCGGGCGGCCGCAGCACCGGGCGGCCTCGGAAGCTCAGAGCTGCGGATGGACGGGACTCAGTGGCCTTTTGGGTCGACTCATTCACCAACTGGATCATGGAATGATCATGGATCTCAGCTAAATGCAGTGCCCCAAGACTGCCATCAGTATCTTTAGTGAATTGCCGGATATCTCAAGAGGGGCAGTTGGTTCACAACGTGCCAAGGGCGATCATTTCTCCACCAGGAAAGCACGTGTTATGATGTCAAAGAGGTTTAAAGTGTATGGACACGATTTACATTGCAGTGTTGAGTGTTGAAAGCACTTGGAAGATCTTGGAACCCTGAAGATCAAGATCTTCTTGAACATCGCCATTCCTGCTATGATTCATAGATTATCATAGATTCATCCCCAGTCATCCATTTGTGCCTGCGCAGATGCGATCGAAAAACACGCAGGCACCGATGCCTTGAATGCCCAAGCGTCCGAACTGGGTGAGGCCAGGCTTTTTCCGGAGGTGTCCTGGAGACTTCCCTGGTTACTGGGCACACGTCCTCACAAACGTTTCGGGGCGGGGTTCAATTCGCAGCTCAACGCCCTTACTTGGTCGGTGTTTCTTTGTGCCTTTTCTTGACGGCATTTGAACTGAGAGTTTTGTGAAGGCAAGCAGATGGACTGTGATGAACTCTAAAAGATGCAAACATATTTTCAGTACTTTCTTTTTTCAGAAAGCACTTTGCGAAGGGTTTTCCTCAAACGAACTGCCCAACCATCATCATCGACGGCCATTTGGCTGGACTTGTATTTCCATGACAGCCTGGACACGCGCTAGGGAAAGGAGACGCAGCATGCGTCGGTCTCGGTCAAGAGACGCAGCAACGCAGTTGGCACAGCGACCGGGACCTTTTGCGTTGGCACTTCGAGTGCCTTATCCTCGCGCTTCAGAAAGGCCAAGACCCAAAAGTAATGTCGTTGGCACTTTGGTCCCCCTTTGGCCGTGTTCTTTTTTCTGGGTCGTTAGAAGGCAAAAAGGACACCAAAACAAGCTGGAGTTGAAAGACTTTCCACAACACTGCACCTCTCTTTCAGGCCTCAACTGCAAAAGCCCATGAAAGACATTTCAAAGGCAACACATTCTAGGGCTGTAGAGCGCCAAGGCCACGCAGAACTGACGCATCGGGGGATTCGGGGAGGGATGCTACCCGTCTGAACACATGCGCCGATTCATGTGCCGACTCGGTCTACATCGCAGCCCAAGTGGCCTATGGCTTTGGGCATCCACGACAGCCTGCAGCTCCTTCACTTCAATTGTTTACCTTTTCTGGCCGCCCACGGCGGCGTGGACCGGCGGCATTGTTCTCAGACGCCCGCTGACCGGGCTGCTTTTGCGCCCGCCCTCCAGCAAGAACGAGACGGTCAAGGGGACGATTTGTGTTGGGCTGGAGAAGAGGTGCGTGTGTGTGTGCGCGTGTGCGCGAACGCATTGAGCAAAAGAGCAGGTGATGTGGTATGGGGCACGTTGGCGCACCACGGGGACAGTGAAGCTGGCTTCATCCATGCTTTGTGGTTTTCTCGGATAGAAGTTCAACCAGTTGACGAGGTTGTAGGTGGCTGAACATCACTGCCCAGATTGCTGGAAGTTCTTCCTGAGGTTTGAATGACACGCGCGCGCTGCAGCTGCGAGCAGACCATGCAGATCGTGTAGTCTAGATGATCACCACACCACCCTTTGCCACAGCGAGCTCCACCGCACGCTGTGCGTGAACACAGGTCTCCAACAACCTGCAAGCCTTATCCACTGGCAGTGAGTTGGCGCAAGCGGCTGGCGGAGAGGCACATCGGTTTGGGAACGGTTGAGTTTGTGCATCCCCCCATGATCGTCGTTCCCGTGGTTTGCTGACCTGGTAGTAGTGAATTGCGGTCTACTGTAAGCACTGTACATCAAACCCGGTACAAACTGGTGTTCAGAAAGTGTACTTGGTAGAATCCAAAGTGGATTAAGAAAGAAGGCGTGTGTTTCAAAATGGGGGGGGGCCGTAACCAATGGGTTTTAGTCTATCTTGTTTCTTCCAGGGGGAAGACGATCCACTTGCTCGATCCTCGTCATCTCATGCAACACGCCAACCGTGTTAATTGGTTTGTTATTATTGTTTCAGTTGGGTTGGTGGGTCAAAATGGAGCCCTCTGAAATCATGATCTTTCCAGTGAGAGGGTCCTTCATTTTCCTTATGCAGTGAGTGATAAAGACCCAGACTTGAATCTGACTTCATGGATCTTCATTGCAAGAGAGGTTTCTTTAAAGGAGCAAGGATGCTACTAGTAGCTCCTGGCCATACTACTAGGAACAAGAAGCTACTCGTAACCAAGGGCATCGCTACTAGGAACACGGACGCTACTAGTAGCTCCTGGCCTTACTACTAGACTACTAGGAGCAAGGAGCTAGTTCACTCAAGCAAGGACCGTTGCTTCGGGTCCCTGCCATCTCTGCGGCTTATTCCGCGCGGCAGGTGGTCGTGAGTGATCTGGAGGTCCCGGCGGCACCCGACGAGGAGCTGCTGAAACTCGATGCTCCACAACTCGAATGGCCTCCACCCTAGTAGAGATTGGCTCCAACCTACTGACGATGGCCTCCACCCTAGTAGCAATGGCCTCCAACGTAAAAAGCGATGGGCGATGGCCGGCCTCCAACCTACTAGCGATGGTCTCCAACCTAAGAGTGATGACCTCCACCCCGGTAGCAATGGCCTCCAACCAGTCCTCCAACTTAGTAGCCATGTCCTCCAATAATAATGCCCCAAACTGGTTGTGACCGGTAGGAATCAGACACAAGGAATTGGTCGTCCCAACAGCGAGTTGCAGGCTGACGTAGTCACAATCCACAAGTTGTGCTCGAACCAGGAGGTCTAGAGGGAATTGACCCACGGAGCATGCCAGCGAGAACCATTCCAAGACTCTGGCAGGCCGCCTTGGAGGAGGTGCCCAGCGAAGAGGATACGGCCGAAGTGCAGGCCATCCAAACCCAGTGGTGTGGGCCATTGAAGTGGAGCTGCTTTTGTTTTGGGTTTCTATCTATCAGCAATCTTTTGAGGTTCCAACGGTTTTGACAGATGGAGCAACATATTCAGCAACAACTCAGCATATGAGTGAGTGCTTCCATGGGATTGCAATAGAAAAAGTGATTTCAACCTAATACCAATCGCCTCCAACCTAATAGCGATGGCCTCCACCCTACTAGCCTTCCACCCTTCTACTTGCGATGGCCTCCACCCTAATAGCGATGGCCGCAGCACCCTACTAGCGCCTACTAGCATTGCCCCTCCTAAAAGGCTATGCTCCTCAGCTTGGTCGCACCCGCAGCACCGTCAGATCGTAGACGTCACCGCCACCGCCGCCAGCAGTGCCGCCGCAGAGGTCTCGGCCGAGGCGGCGTCGGTGGAAACGCCAAAACACCTCCTCGGTTGTTACCCGATTGACCCCCTGTCCATTTCCGAAATAGACATGACCGATACCTGGTTGATTTTGTTGGAAAAGGAACCGCTACATTGGCTCCAGGGCCAAAGGCAGGGGTGTTCGGGCACGTCTCAGGCAGGCTGTAGTGCAGCCTTTGGTGCCACTGTGGAGCGCCCAGAGCAGGTAGAGCCTGTGCATCGCCTGAACGGAGCGGTGGAAGATTGGAGATGCTCATTTTGTATGACTTATAAATCTACAACACATAAATCAATAGGGCCATGAATGACTAATGAGGGTTTTCTCATGGCTGCCGCGGTTGAGGTCACCGTTGGCCAAACCGAAGGCATTGCCTATTTGGAGGCGGACGGGTGTGAAACGGGAAGATGCTGTGACGGCGTGCTTCTGTTCCATGTTTGTTAAGCCAACAATGCTTAAGCATATAGCCATGTTATAGCTTAATACCGCAAGAAAAAGTCGAAGAACCGGTGCCTGTGCATGGCTCCAGTGCGTTTCATGTTGTTCTATAGACACGAGTGTACAAGTGTTGAGCTTCTCAAGCGGCGCAAGCGAAGCCACCGGACGACCGGGAAGAAACGATCTCCACGAGGCCGATCTGGACCACGGTGGCTCCGCCACGGTGTGAGGAAACCCGGTTTGGGCAGAGAAGCGACAGATCCATTTCTCCAGCGAAATGGTGGGGTGTTGGTTTTTCTCCGGAGAAAAAAAACACGGGATGATCTGGAAGGTATACTAGTAAGGTGCTGTTGATCTCTGTGTTCGCCCACGACCAACGAGATAGGATCCAACTGTATAGGCCCTGAGTCTCACAGGATCTCACAGGTCTGGTCAGGGTTCCCTGAGAGAAGATGTCCACGGCCCAAGGGCATGCAGTAGCATCGACTCTGGCTATTCGGGCAGCATCGCTTTGACGCCTCGCCGGCCTGGTTACTCGCTCTACGCCCGGTGGCCCGGTGCGGAGGACGCTACGAACGGGGCTCCTGGCCTTACTACTAGGAACAAGAAGCTACTAGGACCTTTTCGCGGATTCCGTCCGACCTGGCTTGACCTCAGCCAGGTGCAATGCGGGAGTGCTGAAGGCTTCAGCCAGCTGTGTGTCAGGAGCCTTGCGTTTGGGAAATATGTTACATTCGATCGATCTGTAGGCTTCTTCGGGTCCGGATGGGTTGGCTGTTGAGGAGGGTTTGCAAGGTCTCTCGTAACAAAATGAGACACACACACACACAGACACCTTTCTCTGATTCAGTGACTCATAGCGTTCCAACGTGTGGCTGGAGGCCATCGCTACTAGGGTGGAGGCCATTGCTAGTAGGTTGGAAGCCGCTATTTAGGACCCGCAACCCATCCGAAAGGTCGACACGTCGATGAGTCTTCGTCTGAGGCCCCAAAGCTGCAGCAACGCTGTGGCCGTGACGGTGGGGATTCCCTTCGGCGGGGCGCCGGGCGGATTCCCTTTCGTCGAATGACCAGAACTTCATAGATCATTGAACAGGTCCAATTGAACAGGGGTCCAAGTCGGATAGAGGATGACATTTGTCATCGGACATGCCTAAGTAGAAGTGTCGACCTTCCAAAGCTCGGTGATGGTGGAATTCGGTCCATCACCGGCAGGGATGTACTAGCGTGGCACTTGTTTCTAGTAGCTTCTTGTTACTACTAGCCACTTGTTACTACTAGCGATGCACTTGTTACTAATAGCTTCTTGTTACTACTAGTAATGATGTAAGGATGTTTAGTGCATGTGGCTGAATTCTTTGCCATGTCCTTGGTCTTCTGGGCTCCTTCATGACCGTTGTGGAATGCTTCGCAGCACGAAGTAACCACCGAGTCGTTGATATGACATCGTCCAGTTGCTAAGGTTTGCATCATAAGCACACCACAAGGCGACTTAGTAGATGTTTGGAGTGAAGGTTGATCTATGCCCAGGTTTTTGATAGAAATGTTCGGTCGTCCAGGTGGGCTCCAGCACGGTGGACGTGACCCCCACGAGTACCATGGCGTCTGGCACGGTGGCTTCTGTGGTGCGATGGCAGCAGATGTGGAAAGAGTTGGGAGTGGGTTTTGGCTGAGAAAGTAAATGGAAAGGCGAACGGCAAACTTAGGTTTCTTCATGCAATCTTGAGGGGTGAGAAGGAGGTTTTGATGCATAGATTTGTTGTTCTCTTTTGACCACCCTGCCGTTCGAGTCCCTAACTATATATTCCTAAGATCCTTGAAGAGTCTCGACTTCGGCATTTCTAGGAACCAAATGAATAGCCTGAGCTATCTTGCGTCCTAGCTAGTAGCAGGTTCCCTAGGTTTGTTTTAAGTAGCCGCCTGCTGAACTCAACAAGGGTTTCAGGCAATGCTTCGACCCATCCAGCCATCTGTTTTGAGCACTTTGGGGCGGTGGAACTCGGGTGACCAGTTGGACAGGCCTGAAACGGGAGCAGGGAGCGGCCTGAAAACGCGGGAGCCTTTCCCAGACCACGTATGAAATAATATTTACACTATATACTAGACATCACCTACATCGAGCCTTGAAACACTAAATATTCCATACATTCCATACATGGATTGTTGGGATTTTCATATTGAAGATGTCGGACAGTTCCACGTCCGACTCGCTGGGAGAACTTGCCGCACACCCCCAAACTGGATGAGCGTGGATGAGCGAACTCGCTGAGAGGTGGAGGGTTCACACCCACTTTCCGATGGAACTCTGATCAATCGATCTTCATACTCTTTCAGTTTGGTCCCAGGCCTGCAGCTCTGTGAATTCCAGTTACACCGGGAATTTCGAGTTGTCCTGCACTTTGGGCACCCTGAGCTATGACGTCTCGCCTGCAGCCCCAGAGCGTCGGCGACGCGTTGCGCGACGCGCGGCGCAGCGGCGACGCGCGACGCGGAGACCCGCAGCGATGGTTGAGGAGTTGCAGTCCCGGCTGCACAGTGGAGCAGAGCCGAAAGCTTAGTGGAAAGAGACGGGCTCTTTTTTGTGATTTTTGGGCATGAATCTGGTGGAGGGGACTGAGCAAGATGATGCAAGTGTTCTGCGAAAGGCAATCCCACCGTCACTCCTCCTTTGTTTCAATCATGTTTCAATCTCATCAGCTCGGTATGATAGAGTTTTAGAGGAGGTTCTTAGTTGAGTATGTCAAATTTTCGGGGGGCAGCGAACACGTGGCACTCATCCTCCGTTGAAGCGCTTCGTGTTAGCGCTTCGTGCTGTTAGCCGCTAAAGCGGGTTCCAATCCGTCCTTGTTTGCGAGGCATTCCCATCACGGTGGCCGGAAATTCCGCCACTTGGAGCCTCTTGGAAGCAGCTGAAGCGCTGCGATGTTGCACCCGGGAGTGGTGGTTTAGCAGTGACAGTGGTGGATCCATTGGGATTTGGCTCCAAATCCATTCTTTGATTGACCGGATGGAAGCCTCCAGGCAGACTCACCAGGTGCTCCGCGGTCTCGGTTCCGTTCTTGTCTCGGTGTCTCGTCTCGGGGCGATGAAGGCCGGTGGAAGAGTTGAGTTATCAAGCAGATGAATTTGAAGAAGGCAAGAGAAGCAGATGATTCATATACCCCAACATGATTCCAAGGACTGGATGCATTCCGATTGTTAATGATGTTGATGCGGAGCCAAACGTCCAAGTCAAGCTAAGATCTTTCAGTCTAGATGACTTTTGAGCTTCAAATTTTGACACACGACGACGTGCTTGACCACCCAGCACATCTCAATCAATCTCCGCCGTCTCCGCCATGGCTGCGGAGCAACTGGCGCAAGCCGAAAGCTTCAAGGAGGAAGGGAACCGACACCACCAGGAAGGCTGGAGCAGATCCGTTTTAAGATGTTTGATTTCATCAGGGGAATTGCGATTTCAATCGCATCCAGATGTATCCAGAGAATTCCCTGACTATGACTCAACTATGACGATCATCGTCTCCAAAATAGGACGACCGTGCCCTGCCGCAGAGGGCCGTGCCGCCGCGGCGGCGCTGTTACCGGCGGCTGCGATCCCCAACCTTTGACCATGATCGTCCCTGATCCCTTCCCACGTGGAAACCCGCGCAGCCCACACACGCGTGCGGAGCTCGTGGTCAGGGAACTACAAGAAAGCCTTGGGTGCCTACCACAAGGTGTTCTGCTTCATCAATGGCCTGGTCCCACCACCAGCCCATCAGGACTTAATTCGGACAGATGACGTAACTTGGCACGACGGAAGAGCACAGAAAAAGACCGTAAGACTTGTGCGACAGCATTGGATTAGGCATATTTCATATGTATATGTTCTTTTTTGTGGAAGGTGAATCAACAGCAAGGACGCTACTAGGGGCTCCTGGCCTTACTACTAGGAGAAAGGACGCTACTAGGGGGACGCTACTAGGGGCTCCTGGCCTTAAACTACTAGGAGCAAGGACGCTACTAGGGGCTCCTGGCCTTACTTCTCTGAGTCTTTTGAGTCCCTTCAATCTTCGACCCGTTTGAGTATTTGCAAACCATCGGTGAGGCCGTGAGGCAAAATCATTCTCCATTCAGGCCTTTTGGCGTTTACCCTGGATTAGTAGCATCCTTGCTCCGTTCGTAGTAAGGCCAGCAGCCCCGTTCGTAGCTTCTTGCTCCTAGTAGCGATGCCCTTTGCTCCTAGTAGCATCCTTGCTCCTAGTGGTAAAGTCAATGGATGGTTTTCATGACTGCAAGGAAGTGCACCCGTCCGAGCAGAATCCTCTCTAAAGCGGCCTCCAACCTAATAGCGATGGCCTCCAACCTCTAACGCCTATACATGTTGACATGGTAGATGTTTCATGGCTGCGAACGAATACCCAGCCTGAACATCCTGAACCTCGCACAAACAGAAATCCAATCTTTTAAAGGCAACAACTTTAATGCATTATTGGAGCTGGAATGACTGCGGCTGCTGACACCACACTTGCCCTCCAATTGGTACTCATAGAGGGATTTAAATTCTATACGTTTTCCAATTACAAGACCTGGATGCCCTGCCTGCCCTGCCATCTATTGTTATTTCTTGTCGCTAACTCCCTGTACCAGGATTGAGTAATTTGTGCGCGGTGCCTTCCTTAGATGTGGTCACCGCTTTTCAGGCTCCGGAATCAAACCCCAATTCTCCGTTACGCGTAATTGCCACGGTAGGCTAGTTCCCTACTGTCGGAAGCTGATATAGGTCAGAGACTTGAATGACGCAGAGCCGCGCGATTCGTTGAGTTACCATGAATCACCACATGACCAGGCGGAGTGTGGGTTGGTTCTGTATCAACTAAAATCAATAAACACGACCCTTCTGCAAAGTGGGGCTTGGACGCGTGCATTAGCTCTAGAATTGCCGCAGTTATCCATGTAGAAGCGACCATCAAATAGACTATAACTGCAATGAGCCATTCGCAGCTTCACCATGTAAATGCTTATACTGGGCATGCATTGTTAAGCTTTGAGGCAAGCATTGATTACTGGCAGGCTCAACCAGGTTTCAACCTCACGCGGGCTGCACTCAACTCTGAGGCGGTACGTGCGGTGGACATCACCACAGCAGTTTAAGTCCAGCACAGCTTTCCATGCTGGAGCTGATCATTCTGCAAACAACAACCCCGCAGCAGAGATGTCCTCTCCAACCTTCCCTTTCTCAGCCACTGCTGTATGGGAATGAACCCGTCAGTCACTAAGTAAGCTGCTCACTCAAGTCAGCTATCAACAGCGCCAGCCCAGTCAGGCACCTCACTGAAGAACATCACTCTACTAGACTAAAGACTTTTTACATGGTCCATCAAGAGGATCTGAAGGAGAGAGGTCCGTGTTTTCGACCTGCGAAAGTAAGTCCTTTTTGTAGGATTGGGTCTTGATCAGCTTGAAGATGCCCTATAGTCTTCAGACAGCCGGTGTGAACAGCACGCCATGGAGGACGTGGTATCGGTTGCTTCCAACCAGATCCCTCAGGATAAGGTCGAAGAGGCCGGGCCGGAAACACGGGCTGCGCAGCCAATGGTGGATTGCTTCTTAATACGTTTGTAACATGGATCCGGGTCATGTTTGTTCGATTGCTTTGATCAAGTAGTCTGGGTTGCAAGTGATCCGCGATTGGACCAAACATGATCACCCACGGTGGCCTAGACGGGCCCAGACGGGTCTTTTCCTGGGGCCCAGGGTGGCCTAGAGGCGGGCTCTCGGTCGAGTCTGAGGTTCAACGCTTGAAAGAGGCCACGCGATTGAACATGGCGGCCACTCGGCGGGAAAAAACGCACATCAAACGAAAAGCGCAGTTCAAGTGCGGCTTTTGGAAGCAAAGCGCATGAAGGGTATTGAAGGGTTACCGGGTTCTGCACGACTATGCGTTGTGTAAGTGGAAAAAAATGCCATGGGCCATGGATGTTTGATCGTGCTTGGCCATGGTCGGGCAGTTAACCCCCTTGCGTTTCAATAGTTGGCATCCAAGTTGCCTGCTCTATGACCCAGTTGGAACTTTTGGAGAGGGTTACTACGTCCAACTGGGACGTGGTGGGACGAAATGATGGTTTGAATGGTGAGCCTCAACCACGAGTTTGAATATCACACATATTACAATTATTGTATTATGTGTCTTGAATATTGTACTAGACTAGTTAGTTGCATCCTGTACATATACTGGTACCATCAATATACCCTGTAAAATTGGGGACGCTGACCTGGACCTTGCACCTGGACAAGAGGCATACAGCCATCATTTCCAATGACCGCCCATATAGAGCATGTTTTTTCTGCTCAATGTGTTTTCTTCCAAATCCTTGAATCGCCTTGAATCATCCGATGGTAGCCACGATCATCTCACACTCAGATTTTCTGCGGCTTGGTGAGGCCTGCTATTTAAAGCTGGGCGAGCATCAAAAGTGCGTGGATGCCTGCAACCAGGCGCTCCAGTTGGGCCAGAATGCTAAGGCCGGCGAGGATGGTTGCAGTCGATCAAGTGAGTTACTCAGGTTAAATAAGCAATGTTCTTTTGAGTTACTAATAGGCATGGCCTTCAACCTCGCATCAAAGCAGGAGGATTGCAGAAAAACATGTCATTTAGGCTGCAAAGGCCACGTGAGTCTAGGATCCCTTTCCTTGTCACCCACTGCCAGAGAGGGGAGTGAGCGAAGAGGGATGATATAATCATTCAAACCAAGTCCAGGACGATGTTTCTCCCGAAATCCGGATCTTCCCACCATCCGGGTCACCACAAAATGACAAAGGCCTTTCTTTGCCTTTCCATGGCTGGAGGCGTACTTCCGGCGAGGCCAAGCTTACTTGGAGCTGCGGAACTTTGGCTCCTGGAACCAATGGTAAAACAACAAGGATCGGACACAGCGGCCAATGGCCTCCAACCGAATCGCAATGGCCTCGAGCTTTAGGAGAATCGGAATGAGGGTCATCATGACCATCTCCTCTTGGCACCTCTCGTGGGCCGGGAAGATTAGTGGTCTCCATGCCTGAAGTGACGTTCTATGCTTGTTCCAGAATTCCTCAAATGTTTTGTGACATGTTTGTGCAGTTTTGCAGTTACTAACACGGGCATCACATGATGGTTGAACAACATGAGGCGCTCACCGAGTTGGGATGGATACTCACGATTTGCTCCCAACCATGACTGCCACAACATAATCATTGCTTCATCATTTGTTCCTACCACTCCAGGGGCCAACCTTCCATGTCCCACATGTGCCACATCTGATGTCATCTCCCCCTCCACTACCCTGCCCTCCACCCTCCACATCCCACCTCCGAGCTCTGCCATCTCTGCGCCGCTCAGGTGCCGCCAAGGCGGACCTCCTCCGCGCCGAAGCGGAGCTCGGTGCGGCCGCCGCGGCGCCGCTGCGCCGCGCGCTGCGCGAGGCGCTGCGCCCGCGGACGGCGGACGGCGCGGAGCGGCAGCAGTGCCGGGCGATGTTGGAAGTGAAGGCGGACGGTTTGGTCACTGGGAGATACCGGGAGGGTTGGGGGAGGGTACGTTGCTCTTTTGTTCCAAACATGTTGGAAAAAACATGAACCGAAAACGTGAACGGGCCATTCGGATGTTCTGTCGTTGATTGCCGAATACGCGCCGGTCGGTGATTGGAGCCAAAGCACACACACACGGAGCGTTTGTTTGGTTCGCTTCAACTGGTTCGGAGGCGCAAGACAGTGCTCCAGAGGAGTTGGCCATGGAGGACTAGTTGGGGCCAATTCATTCGGAGGGGTTGCTTGATTTGGATTTGACATTATAGCAAGGAAGCTACTAGGGGTGCCTGGCATCGCTACTAGGAGCAAGGACGCTCCTCGAATGAGCTACTGTGTCAGTCTGCCCAATTGTTGCCTGAAGTGCGCACTCGAATGAGCTCGATTCTTGAAGGCGGACCTAATTACACACGACCAGTGACCAGTATAGTGACAATGTGATGATAACGAGTTATAGCTTGGTTTTGGGAGTTGCGTTTCAGTGTCAGAGTGATCTGCGAATCGATTCTTGTATACAGGCAAAGCACCGTTTCCCGGTGGCCACGTTTCCCGGTGGCTCGGAACTTCAGATGATTCACGGTCTTCCCGACGGTGCACCAGGTTGGAAGAGGCTTCATTGAAGTTTCCCATTTTACCCATCGCCTGGGTTCAAGTCGTCCATTGCAAGGAATACTCAGAGCTTGGATCCATCATTTGGCAGAGCAACGACAGTGACAGAAAAAAAAACATGAGAGGACCTTCAACCCTTGGGATTTTCAAGTTTTTCTATCCGTTTCTGTTTCAAGTGATGCTGTGGATTCGACGTCAGGACAGCGCCGACGTGGACAGCGAAGTCGCCGTCGCCCAGTCCGAAGCACCGGTTGAAGCACCGGCCGCGGCCGAAGCGGAGGCGCTGCGGGGGGTGGTCCCCAGGCGATTCCCTGGTTCCTGCTGGCTCCGTTCGTAGTAAGACGAGGAGCCCTGTTCGTCGCGTCCTTGGTCCGTTCGTCGCGATGCCCAAAAGGCTCCGTTCGTAGCGTCCTTGTTCCTGCAGTTTGGACCGGAAGTTTCGAGAGGCGGTGAACCGAAGATCAGACATGATCAGACCTGGACTTGGTGTAGACCAGAGATGTTGGACATGATATTGCGGTGGAAGGTGGGGCGCAGGAAGTTTGAGCAGTCTTTTCTCCGGCCGTCCTGGCTTCTTTTGAGATCAACTGGTCCTCAGGGATTGTTGCCACTACATATATGCATATACTGATGCATTCAAACAACACTCCCTTCCAAATCCCAATAGATATTTCTACTAACATCCATCCAGGTCTGGACCCGGATCGACGCGAGACAAAGCGCCAAACAGATCGAGCTCGCCAAATGTGCGTGTTGGACGACGACATCTATCGCTACCAGGGCGTTTGCTCGGGGGAGGATCAAACACCTGTAGCAAAAACCATCAAAAACCATACCACCCATTTGTTTCACATATCAAGTCGACAGATCCCTCCCTCCCAGCTCAGTTCAGAAAATGCGTGCAACATGCGGCATAAGTTGGCTACCAAGTTGTCGTCGAAGTGAATGCAGAAGACATTGTCGAGAAGGAAAACAACTAAGGTTCTGAGGTTTAAATTGGAAGGGAGGCCACCAATCATCGAGAACTCATCCCCTAAGCTAGCAGCCAGTTGATGAACACCCATTTTCACGAAGAAAGGGTCATAGGGGAGAACAAGAGCAATGTAAAAAAACACATGTTTTGTGCAAGGCAGTTCAGTTGTCCGTGTTTCTTTCATGTTGGAGCTTCTTAAGGATGCCGATTCTTCTTTCCAAGCGTTAAAACATGTTATAAACATGTTATAAACATTTAACTAATTCCTTGGTCCTATCTTACATATTGTAAGATCACATCCAACAGCTCACGTTCTCAGACAACGACAGGTGGATCCGGTAGACCCCTTGACCGTACCGGATGAAGCCCCAAAGCTGCCCACCACGGTCCGCGAGCTCCGCGGATTCGGGTGGGCAGGGTGGATCGGGGCGACAGGTGGATCAGGTGGAGGCTAACGGTGGGAAGCTATGGGGAGAAGACTTTGGATGGAACTTGTAGATTCTATGTGGAATTTTTGCATTGCCTGGCATGAAAGATCAACTACCCTTTTGACAGATTTTGACACGTTTTGATCAAAATCTTGAGTCTTGCGAGTCCGTTGCATGTGTCGACTGTAAAGAAAGCAGAACGTCGCCCATGTGTCGCCCATGTTGGATGTGAAGGACCACCGTCTCTGGCAAACTCAGCCAGATCGCCTCACAACTTGAGACGAGACTTGAGTGGTCCGATCTTGTGACACCGTACGAGGGTCCTAAAAGCGATGGTCTCCAACCTAGAAGCGATGGCCTCCAACCTGAGCGATGGCCTCCAACCTACCAGCGATGATATTAGATGCAACTCTCCTTCGCCTCAACGGAAACCAGTCCAGCTTATGGGTCATTCTAGTCCAGTATCTTCTAGTCCTCGAAGAGGTCATTGCGTGGCCACCTTCCAGAGCTGGGAATGGCACGACCCGAGGCTCACCTATGCATGGCAGCAGACAGATACGGAGATCAAAGTCTACATCTCCTTCGATCAGTCTGAGGACCATCTACAGGTTTCCCCAGAGAGGTAGCCAGTGACCGTAAATAGGACCCGTCACCTGGGGTACCTATGGGATAGTCTATAGGGTTCTTCAACCTTTGTTGGTCTTCCTGAGATTGAAACGAAGAGGTTTGGAAGGGAATGGTTCCGTCGCGCCACCTTTTGGACTTTCCACGGGGTTGATTGCAACGTAACACAAGAAGAAAACTTCCCTTTAACAGATTGACTGCTAGACATTGCTAGACTACAGATTCTGGGTAGACTACAGATTACTGAGGGCATCAGCTGTTTTCTTGGATTTCGGTGTACCATTGTGGGGCTCACAGCCCAGCCATCCAAAAACGCTTCAGGAGCTCCAAAACGTCAAGGAATCTCAGGTGAAGGCCGCCTTCGGCGAATGGAGCGCCACAGCCTCTCGGTGCTGATTCACACCTGGGTGTGGGGCGACTTGCCCCTCAGAAAACCCCACCGTCCCACCTACCATGGACCTACTCACCATCCCCACCCACACCGTCCCACCTACCATCGATGCTGAGCTCGAACCGGCAAACAAACCCACCCCTCGCGCGCGGAGTCCGCGCCCGCGGGGAATTCCGCGTGCCTCATCCAGGTGCTCATCGAGCTGGGCGGGCGGCCTTTCGGCCTGCGGCTGAACGACTTCCACCGACGCTTGGCGCCGGAGAAGTGCTCGTGGGCGCTGCAGAGCTCGCGGATCACCTTGAAGCGCCTGGGCGAAGGCTGGTGGAGGTGAAGCAGGGGGAGTAAAGGGAGGAGTTGGTGAGGGGCAGTGGGTGAGGAGGATAAGAGATGGAGGTGAGGGTTATAGGTGAGCTAAGGGCTGGTTTTGAGGGGAGGATGATGTTTTAGACACTTGAAGTGTGCAGATGGACAACCATCGCACATCCAAACACTGTCACCAAGCAGTCTGGAACCTGCAGAATGTGGAAATTGGACTTTTCCCACTGTTTTTTTGCTGTTTGTGATTGTTCGTACAAGCCCGTTGCCCCAGAGTTGTTGTTGTTGTTGCTGCTGTTGATGTTGGTGTTATAGTTGAAAAAGTAGTAGTAATTAGTAGTAGTAGTAGTAGTAGTAGTAGTAGTAGTAGTAGTAGTAGTAGTAGGAGTAGGAGTAGGAGTAGGAGTAGGAGTAGGAGTAGCAGTAGCAGTAGCAGTAGCAGTCGTAGTCGTCGTGATATATCAATGGTCTACACTCGGGCCATGTACTGCCCAGAAGCGAAAGACATGTGAACCTGGACACCTCTGGAAGCCTCACCATGCACTGAGGTTGGTGAAGCGAGAGGCTGAGCATTGGTGGAACTTGCTCCAGAAGTCTTCCACCTGAAATTGAAGTGGCAATCCTTCGGATCTGGATGATTTGTGGATTGATTTGGATCATCATATGTCTTCATGTTGTGTACTGTTGGGTTGGGTCCTTGTCACCTTTCGATTCAGTGCCAAATACGACTGGAGAACGAACACGTCTTGTTGTCGACTGGGCCTTGTTAGTTCGGTCTGAAGATGTTCACCAGGTGTTCCAATCCACTATCCATCCAGCTTCTTGGGACTTCCCTTCGGTCCACCATGCTTCGGCCATAAGTGCTGGAGACCACGGGTCGTGCACTTTCAGACCTTCTTCGCAGTGGCCGAGCGAACAAAAGAAGGCTGTCGATGTGCAGAATGCAGCGAAGGAAGGGGTTTGAGTGATTTTTAGGGTTGGGTTCGGTCCCCGTAAATTCCATGGGAGGGCGGAGGAGGTTTCGACGGTGGAGGGGAACAGTTTGATTGATGACGGTGGGGGGTCTGAAGAAATGAAAAGACATGCACTGAACGCATGTTGACGCAGTCTTGTCTTCACGCATCGTCTCATTTTGCGCTGGGTCAAAACAAGACCTCCAACAGCGTGGCCCTCCTGGGAAGCCCAAGCCACCTCCGCGATCGTTTTACCTTGGATGGCGTTTTTACGGACAGACACATACTGAAAGCATCCTTTTGTAGTAGAGTTAGTTTAATAATGTTTAATATATATATTAGGAACATCCTGTTAGATCTCTATAAAGTATTCTAAAGTACATATGAGAGGGACAAGACTGACTTTTCCACTGAGGTCCCAGCTCCACCATGGCTTCCGGTAGCTTCGAGACCACGTTGGAGTGCTCAGAACCCGACGAAGTCGAGAAGGGCTCGGGAATCCTCGGGAATCCTCGACCTTCATCGAGTGCTTCGGGAGTCGTAGGTGGTACGTGGTACGCCTAACATGCACAGTTGATTCGAACGGATGGCCTCCAACCTAGTAGCGGTGGCCTCCAACCTAGAAGCAATGGCCTCCAACCTAGAAGCAATGGCCTCCAACCTACTAGAGACGGCGTCCAACCTAGTAGCGATGGCCTCCAACCTAGAAGCAATGGCCTCCAACCTAATAGCCATGGCCTCCAACCTAATAGCGATGGCCTCCAAACTAATAGCGATGGCCTCCAACCTACTAGAGATGGCCTCCAACCTACTAGCGATGGCCTCCAACCTAATAGCGATGGCCTCCAACCTAATAGCGATGGCCTCCAACCTAAGAGCAATGGCCTCCAACCTAATAGCGATGGCCTCCAACCTACTAGAGATTGGCTCCAACCTAATGGCGTTGGCCTCCAACCGAATAGCGATGTAGATATTTGTTTAAATGAATTCATCACAGATGTGACCACAGGCTGTGAACTTCTTGCAGATCCAACCAGGGTCCAAATGTAGATCTGAATCATATAGACGAGCACTACCGAATCCACCTGAAGTTATCCAGAAGACTATGGGACAGGTATTTCAGCGAAAAGCAGAAGTAGCATAATCAATATGATTGAAGTGTTCCATACTCCTTAGACCACAGTTTTTGAACATTTGGAAACCCAGACCCACTCAATCCGGCATTCAGGGCTTGCGATCCAATCAACAGCGGCTACACTGGCAGCATTACGTCGGGAGCCCAAATTCCGTGGCTCTGGGCGACGGCTTGAGAGAGCTAACCACCATAGGCATGCATAGGGCTAGGGCTCTTAGGTTGGAGGCCATCGCTACTAGGTTGCATGCTTCCGCAGAATCCAAGCTCTTCAGCAATGGGTTTAGGGTTTGGTAAGGCTCTGGAACCCTGCGAAACTTGGTGGAGACGGTCCATGTTTTGGATCTTTGGGCGATACTTTTGGATCTTCAGTGGAACTATGTTTTTTTTCGCGGTAAAAGGGCTAATCATCTTCAGAATTTTCAGACGTCCCGCGGCCGTCAAGTCGAGTTTGGTCAAATAACTATTCGAGGAGAACGAGTGTCGATGCCACGAGTGTTGGAATGGCAGCACAGTTTTGTGGGAGAACAGGAGACGAAGCCACAACTCAAATCCTCAGTTTTTCCACTGCATTTCACTACTAATCATTAAGTTAGCGTTACTATTTTGTTGACTTCTTTTTGGAGTAGCTTTTCCATCAGTGGATCCGCTGCCTTGATGGCTATCGGATGCTATCGGCATTTGTGAATCAAGCAATCGTAGCACCATACCATGACACTGGCAGTAGTTCCTGACAGCAAGAAACAAGACACCGATCATCTCTTCTGTGCGGGTTCATCGAATCATCATACTTGGTTGGCACTGATTCCGATCTCAGGAAGCATGCTGGCCACAAGGGTTTTGGGTGCCAGCTTTTCCTGAAGTTTCCGGGAGATAGCAAGTACGGGTGAAATGACCTGTCTCATGCAGGCTTGCTACAAGAGGGAACGTAACGTTTTCACACTCATGAACTGCTCTCAGCATGTCAGCGCTTGGCACTTTCTGAGGGTCAGTTGCTTCTTCGGTGTCCTGGAAGCCAACCCAGCAGCCTGCAGCAGGGGGCGCCCAGCGCAGCTGGCATGCGCCGCGAAGATGCGGCGCTCGTTGGGCAAGGGGTTGGGAGTTTAGATTTGGGTATACTGAAGAGCTGTGGAAAAAGGATGAACAAGGTAGCTTTTGTAGATGATTCCATCTTGCTTGCCTGAGCATGTGTCCTCTAATCTACACCCATCCCGGAGATGACAATCCAGGAGATTTGCTGAGACCTGTGATCAGCACAAAATCCGGATCCATTTCATTCATCTCAACTTGGAACTACAGCACTCAGATGCTTTGCAGCTTCAAACTTTGTGGTCCAGCCCGGACCAGCCCAGGTGCCAAGCCTTGTGCAGCTGGGGATCCAGTGACCGTGACCTTGGATGGCGCCTGGAGCCGAGCAGCGATGTCTTCGTCCGCTTTGTTTCCAATAGCAATGGCCTCCAACCTAATAGCGATGGCCTCTAACCTACTTGTCTTTTATTCCAATCCGTCTCAGATTCGACATCATCCCATTTCCAGTGGTTTTCGGATCAACGAGATGAACGACAGAAGACAGGAGATGAGGAAGGTGGCATTTCCAGTGATCTTCAGATGTGCTGTTGGGCACAGCGGATGCCCTCTATGATGCCAGGCTCAAATCTCTTTGCCAACATTCTTTCTGCCAAGGATCGAATGAATCATGCACTCCTTGGAATCATGGAAGTCGATAGTCCTTTGTTTGCAAAATGGTCATCCAAGGCGGCACGCCATCCACGCCATCCACGCCATCCACCCGTCGACCTGATCGCTCTCTCGCTCTTGGTATCGAGACATGGCCCAAGGTCAGCGAGACCTTGAACTTGGCCTCAGAGTTGGCGTTTGGAGGCTCAGACATGGCGGTGGCAGAGTGGCAGAGCTCAGACATGGGATCCTTTTCGTTTCATCCATCGGTCCAAAATACTAATTCCTGAAGCCCACTGGGCACACTGCTTGCTTTCCACCTCACATTGGGGCATGCCGAAAGAAGCTCGTATCGGCTCGTGAGGTCCTTGTGTTTGTTGTGGACTTGCTGCGTCTCAACCTGGTCGTTCGTCTCAAAGCCAACCGGTTCGCGTTCGATCCATGTAGCATGGGTCGATGAGACATCAGACGCATGGTCCATAGGCTGATAGGCCTGGGTCGATGGGTTGACGTCGAGAACGCCGCCCCCCCCAATTTGCTGCAGCTCGAGCTCTGTGTTTTTCCAGTGGGTGAAGCTATGTATAGCTACTGGACTGACTTGGTGAATTTATTGGTGTCCGCAAACCATAAATAAATCGATGGGGAGAGTTACATGCCTTTAGATTCTTCAGAGGCCTTCAGAGGTATATTTTTAAACACACAGAACGAACACCACAAACATCTCCATCCCAAGCACCCGGATCCAGCCCCCGAGGTCCGGCTTGAACCGAGTGGCCTTTTGTACCGATGTGAACTCGGTGCGAAGCTGGGCATTTTGTGAGAATGTGAGAAGAGATAATGAAGTTTAAAGAGTGGCCTCCAACCTAATAGACGGTCACAAGGGGCCCCACAAAGATTACGGAATGTTTGATTGATGAGTTTGCTGCCTTTTTAAAGCATCATGATCATCATGCCATGCCCGTGAAGCATGTGTTACAGTGTTACGACATTCATTTCTAGGTGGTGTCGATTTTGTGTTTCGGCAGGAAGAACCGGTAGAAGCATCTGGGTGATCCTTGCAGTCCAAGTTACCATGTGCTTTCTGGTCTGGTGCTCAACCACTTTTGGGGGGCGTCAAAGCAAACTCCTTGCTTTGGAGTTGTGTGCAATGTGATTTTCTCCCAGCTGGAAACGATATGAACATGTAAAAGATACGGAACCAGCACCCAGGCCGGAGCCCTTGTAGGATCTTGCAGTAGAGGTTGATCGAACGCGAACCTTTCTGATTGAAGTGTGTGTGTGGGCTTTCGTAGGCGTTCCTATTTCTTTTGCTTTCCCTGTGATCCAAACTTGCCCCAGTTTCGTGGGCTGGCCTGTAGATCGAGAAAGGGAACGGGTCCTCAGCACGTACCAGCTACGAACAAAGAGCATCGCTACTAGGAGCCTCCTGGCCTTACTACTAGGAACAATGTTCGCTATTAGAAACCATAAATAAATATGACTTAAAGTAGAATTTAGTCTAGTTTAAACATTTAATTTTTAGAATTAACACAAGAATAAAAGGCTACTAGGACCTTTTCGTGGACCCGTTATCGATCTCCTTGGGTTCCAGTGAGCTTTCTACACGCAAAGAGCACAGGTCAAACGATCAGTGGCTGTGTCGATAGTGAGGTGATTTCCCACCGGGTGTAGCGTTTGGCCGGTTAGGAACTATCCAGAGCTGATTTGGGAGCTGGGGTTCTCCTGATACATTCCCGTTCGAAAGGCAGCAAATACAACACACTATACAGACAGTTCTGTAGCGATTGCTAGAATTTCTCACAATAGCTGCCTGTGTTTGACATATACTTCTAACGGCTAGACGGTGTTGATGTTCTTTGACTGCCTTTGACTGCCGGTGCAGCGGTTTAAGCTGAAATCCGACACCGGAGGCTTGGGGCGGTCAGCTGACCT